TCGCCGTGTCTATGGGGGAAGCTGCAAAACATGTCTTTTCGGCATGTTTCAAACTGTGAAAATTGGAGGAAGTCTCGCACGAAATGCTGGTTTTGATGTTCCTACGTGTCTCGTCTCGAGTCTCTGTGGTTTTCCTGTGGCTTCGCCGTGTCTATGGGGGAAGCTGCAAAACTCTCCTTTTCGAAGGTTTCCAAGCAGGTTGTCATGTCGTTTTGATTCGTTTTGCGTGGCAGGCGTGGCACTTTGTGACATTCCAACCTGTTTGACAACGTGTCGAAAATGTCAAAATTGGAGGAAGTCTCGCACGAAATGCTCGTTTTTCTGCATCCATGCATCTTGTCTCGAGTCTCTGGTTTTCCTGTGGCGTCGCCGTGTCTATGGGGCAAGCTGCAAAACATCTCTTTTTCGAAGGTTTCCGAGCAGGTTGTCATGTCGTTTTGCGTGGCAGGTGTGGCACTTCGTGACATTCCAACCTGTTTGATAACGTGTCGAAAATATCAAAATTGGAGGACGTCTCGTACGAAATGCTTGTTTTTCTGCATCCACGTGTTTGGTCTCGAGTCTAACGTTTTCCTGCGGCGTCGCTGTGTCTATGTTTTGTCTGGGGGAGCATGAAATAAACACTTTCAGATTTCGCACGCGCTGGACTGTTGGCTCCGTGAGGCTTGCGGTTTGTAAAGATATTGCAAGACTGCGATTATGTTGAAGCTGGAAAGTTGTTGTCTGGACTCATACAGATTTCGCACAGTGTGGTCTATATATTTTCGGTTCTGCGTCGGCAAACATTTCGGCTGTGCTCAATTGCAAGAGGGCACCAAGCATTCACAGTTCATGACAGAGGGGAGTTATAGAGATAGTGCAAGACGGTGATTTTCGAATGTTCGTGACAGATGTCCAAGCAAATGTCGCATGCACGGGAGTGTTGCTGATTCAGGCATGAAGTTTGACAGCGATGTTGAAAGGGTTGCTGAGATGTTATGGTTGACTATTTTCATTTTCAGCTTTTTCAACAAATTGGAAAGATGTTGGCTGGGCAGCTCATAGAGACTTCGCGCACATTGTTGCCAGCATGTCGTGTGTAAAGCTGTTGGACTGTCATGTTGTGGTGTTTGTGGTTGTCACCACATTGGTTCGGCTATTTGTTGACAGAGCACATGCACAACTTGCGGGCACCAGTCACACTCCACACTCTACACTTTACACACTCTACACTCCCCACTCCACACTTTACACTTCACACTCCTTACTTTACACTCCACACTCCACACTCTACACTTTCCACTCCACACTGCAGACTGGTAACAGGGGAATCATTGCAGAAAAGTGTTCTGCGTGACTGCATATCCATGTGTTTCCACATCTGTACCATTAACATGCGTGTGAGCATTCGGGTTCGTGGGCTGCATCTTGTTTTCATTATCTTCACTCCAGTTGAGGTATGCGGCGTAGTGTCTCAGGGAAGCGGTTCTGCCAGCTACTGGGTCAACACTTTCCAGGCTGGTCCTATATAGGTCCTTGTCAGTGTCTGGTTCCTGCATCAACGGATTTGCATTGCAAAATTTTGATTTTGCATCAAAGCCTGCTATGGGCTGTGTCCTCGCAGGTCGATATTAGTCCGGAGCACAGTTTCCATAGTGATCCGACTGGTGAGAACACATCCATGCACGCAATTGCTGCATTGAGGCGAAGATGGCAGTACCTATGTTGAGATTGCTGGGGTTTTTTCGACTGTTGGTGACCAAACAACCCAGAAATTATCCAGATTTCCACTGCCTATGAGAGCACGTTTCTTGGACAAACATGCCAATGGAAAGTGATACTGCTTGCGATGCGGTCACAGTGGTGGAAACCATTAGAACCCAGCATGCTGTGGAGCTTTGGTGAGTACTGTATACATCAGTGTGTCCAGGTTACGTGAAAATTCGCCCCATTACTTTTAATGGAGCAGTGGCCATGCGAGCTGGGTTGGTGACTTGCGGTGCGATGAGAGGGGGAATATCCACCAACTATGCCTCGACAGCAGGCTGGAACGAAAGGGGAGGAGGGTATATATAGAGTCAAGCGATTGAGTAGGGAAACAATGAAATTAGCCGAAGCAGCTGGAGTACCCTGCAGGCATCACGTGTCATGCCGACATATCAAACTGTGGTCTCTTGGACTTATTGGAGCCTTTTCTTGGTGAGCTCGCCGGGGCTGAGAGCTTACCCTGTTTCATCCTGTTTCAAGATTTCATTTACTATAGTTTACTCTTACATTTCATTCCAGGACTTATTGGGATTTGTTCATTTTGTTATTTAGGGCTGCTTGGCGTGGTTATTTGTAAAAGTGCCCGAGAAATTGTAAAGTATTTATTTATCGTGCCAGAATTTCCAGACTCTTGGTAAATTCTTCGGCAGGTACTTGCGAAGCCTGCCGCTCCTCCATGCCCCACGTTTGAATTGAAATCATCTTCCCAAAGTGGGCCCGCCTTACAGCTTCCAACCCTATCCAACCCTTACATTTTGAGCAACCCTTCCCGCCCTCGAAGAAAACGCAAGAACAATGAGCCCAGGGGGCCCAGATCGTTACGCCGGTGAGGTAGTGGTATAGCGGATGGTGTGAAATGTGACAGTGCTGCCACTTACACCGGAGCTTTGGCGACTTCTTCCACAGAGCTCTGCACGTCTCAGTATTGGGTCCAGTTGGACTTAGGACCCCAACTTCCAAGGGGATCAAGGGGACATGATGGGACCACATACGGTTTCCGGTGCGATGAGTATGGAGCGATGGACACTTAATTAAGCTGTCAGTGATTCCAAAAGCGTTCCAGCAGTTTTCCTGAAAAGGAAGTAGCACCAAGGTAGCCAAAGAACCACATGATATGCACACAGGAACCTTTTATGATTTTGTCAATTTTGTCACATACAATTTCATTTAAGAGATTTTAGAGTCGTGGTCCTCCATTCATGTGTTCAGGGCAGGATCGAGCTGGCTCGGCACATTCTCCTGCAGGACCATCAAGCAATCTTCCGGACAATCCGCCAACGAAGCTCGTGAACAAGGCAAGAAGATGCAAGAAGGGCATTCTACTAATACATACTAATACGCAGCGCGTCAAATGCTTTTGGCAGGGTAGCACATGGTAGCACAAGCTTGAGGATACATTTCACCGGCAAATGTGCCAGATACCCAAACCTCCGAAGATGTGACATATGAATCCCTATGATCGGAATAAAGACACATGTCGGGCTGAGATCAGGTGGTGCTGTATGCCTGTAAGGGGCTTTTCTACTGCGGCCGCAAGCTGGAAGTGTCCGTGGATGGCTCAACTTGGTCAACAGTCATCGAGCGGAGCACATATTATGACGCCTGGAATTCACTTTTGTGGACTTTGAGCCCTTGGTTTTTGCATCATTTGACTTGGGACACACGTGATTTTATCGGAGCCTTCCACCATGTTTGAGGATGATGACACTGCTCCAACAGTGGAGTATGACGATGAAGAGGATAGCCACGGTACCATTTTTCGCTTCGACCTGAGAGCCGTTCGCTATGTGAAGGTGTGGTCGAGCATTAGCAGCACCGCCACAGCAGTACATTTCTCTGAGATTGCACCTTGTCATCGAATTTTGCCATCCAGGATGATCAGATGATTGTCATTTTCTGCATGAACATGCTTCATGTGACCTTCCAACACACAGGCATCCAAAAAAAACAAAAGGTGTCCATGTGACCTGTGACAGGCTAGTTCAGATTACAGGTACAGCACACTGAACTAGTCTTCTGGTGCTCTTGTCCTATCCTTTTTCATCGTGCATGTTCTGCAAAAGGCGTAGACTGTGTGTGCATTATAAAGGACATTCAAGGACGGATTCTATGGATTTTAACAAGATATAAGTATAACTTGCGCCCCGATTGTCTGCACCTGCATGGTGACGATCGACACCGATGGACCAATAACGAAGAAACCACTAGACACATGCTGACCAAGGCAAATTAGGAGATTAATGAGCAGGTAAGCGGACAAACAAGCGCACAAATGAAGAACTTAAATGCATCAACATGAGAGCATACATGAACGAGCATGAATGTACATGCACATCTAGATGCTACAGATACAGTGTGTAAACAGATTTAAACATATCCGGCAAAAAATAATGGAAACAATACTTGAAACTGCCGGTTCTTTTGTAGGAGTCTTAAACATGGTTTCATGAAAATACCATGATGCCGTTCTCGAGAGGAGCTGTTCTCCTTCTAGAGGAAGCTCGTGCACGCAATTCTATTACAACTCTGTAGTCCGAGCTCCAGTGATGATTTCCAATGACGCAACCATGTTTAGTACAACATGATATGTTTATTTGTCATGAAAGCTAGCTTCTGCTGGCTGAAGTCCCTCCAAGGTATTGGGGGGGGCTGGAATCTCCAATCCCATGAAACTTCATACTTAATTACCCTCCCCCTCACCCCCTGGCTGGCTGGTTCACAAGCAGTTTGGCCGTGGCTCAATCCCCCTGGGGACACCGTCGGCATGGGGCCACTGGCCACTAGCATCCTCTGGCATCCAGTTGCATCCACTGGCAGCAAATTCGGCAGCATCCGCATATATCCGCATCCTCAGCATCATTATGTTTTCATGCCAAGCTTTCGTCCCTTACGCCTGGGCCTTCTATTTGTGCACTGACTGAGCCACGTTTTCACAGTGTCTGCTGCTGCGTCAGGGTCAGCGGAGCCTAGTTCCCGGCAAGTAGTATCAGTAGTATCCTCGTTTTGGACAATCCTGAGAAGCCTAATGGGAGGACTGCACAAACCTCGGGATACACTTAAAATCACTTAAACATAAATATATATATATTATATAGGCTTCCGAAAGGATTAAGAGGGATGCTTTGGTTCAACCCGGGCAGCTGCTGATTAGCATTTGCCGCTTCGATGGAAGCTGACAGACTCAGGAAGTTTATGAAGAGGCTGTGGAGAAGACTTACCAGTTTGACTCACAGATCACAAGCACAAAAGTCACCATGGGAACTTTGGACAACCTGGAAATTTCCAGTGGTGATTATACCTTCATGACATTCTGGGATGCAAGCAGCATGACTATAGACAGCAGTACACTCCATCCCCTTTTTGGGACGGACAGCACTGGAATGAACTTCCAAGTGGCAAAAGAGGGAACCACTTCAGCCAAGCTATACCATGGCACATCCTCAACCTGCAGCGCTACGGTCACCATCGAGTCGTCCTGGAATCATGCTGCAGTGGTGTACTCTTCATCTGCACAAACATCGTCATTCTATATCAATGGGGTGCTTGCTAGCCCGACTTGTAGTCAGTTTAGCACATCGGGCACTACAGCCTACTATGGTGGCGGAGATGGGAGTACCTGGACAGGCAGCTTAGAGCAAGCAAAGCTTTACACCAAGGCTATTGGTACCGATGACCTGTTGAATTTCAGCAACTGGTGCTCAACCTACACGTGCAGTGCAGCCTATCGTCGAAATTCCAGGCGGCGAACAGTTTGCTCTACCCCTTCGTGCTCAGATAGTGATTGTTGTGAGGCATGGCCTACCTGTGATCAAAATGATTGCACTGTTGATTGGAAGTCACTCGTTTGCATTTTCGATCCGTTTCATGTTCATGTGCAGAGGTGAATCTTGAAACATCTTGAAACCAAGGTGCAAGTACTTGAGGTTACTTGAGGTTTAAAGCCCAGAAGTCTGATTCATGTTTCTGCCAGTATTTGTACATTTGGTACCTGTTTGCGGGCTATCAAGGTACACATCTCGGCGGCGGAATTATTGCTTTCGTGACTGTACGCAAGCCTTGTGTTGCACTGAGCGAACTCTTGGCAGCTTTTCACTACTACCGGCAGACCACGCAAACCCTTCCTCTGTCACAGTTTCAGTGCTGCTTAGCAGAACCGACAAAGCATTATGAAAATTAATGAAACCTTCTGTTCTTGGTGTTGAGGGTTCTTGAGCACAGAAATACGCAACATGTTTCTTTCTCTTTCAGAGCCTCTTGAGGCACACCACTGATGCTTGGGCAGATGCGGGCTCGACTTGTGCCGATCAGTATTCCGAGACGCTGCCCGTGGCCACATCTGGCTCCGTGGATCGCACGACAAAAGGCACTTATACCGTCACCTATGACTGCACCACCAATTCAGGCGGCACAACCTTCGCCACTTGGATGACAGTTGACATTTGACATGTGCTGACAGGAGTCGACCTCATTCATCCTATATTCATCCTATATTCATCCATATTCTGCTTTCATTTGCTTCATTATGCTTCTGTTTGGCACTTTGCCATTTGTAATTGATGATGCGTATTATGCAGGTTTTGCATCGGTTTGTCCCAATCTGCCTCTCAGCTGTTTTCACTCTTTCCCTTAGCACTTGCCTTGGAATGTTGTTGACTTGATGTTACTTTATGTGCGTTGATCCTTGGAGAGTTGACTCATGGCCTGTGATGCCGGCTTCCGAGGCTACTAAAACTAGGACTGTTGAAGTGGTGGACAGCATGTACATCAATACTGCCTTGACTCTCGGCTTAAAGATACTTAGAGAGGCTTAGATAATCTTAAAAGGGGTATCCACAGTATTTGTTCGATCTCCTTATTGACCAAGTTGCTGGGTGTTGGAGTCCATAGGCTGTCAGTGTGCTACGTGTGTAGATGAAGATAGATGAAGGGATGAGAAAATCTGCATGGGCACAGCATGAACACCACAAGCACACCAATTCGCGCATGCACATGCGCACTGAGATAGAGAAGGACGAATGCGCGACAAACCAATTCTGTGAAACAGCCCTGTGGCTCATATAAAGCCCTGAGTGTGTCGCAGCGTCTCTGAGATACTGGACTGTCCAGCGAGAAGCTGGATCGTGGACCGATACTGCGTCGCAGTGCTATGCTACCGCAGTTTCTCAGCTTATCACTGCAAATGTATGCAAATGTGCATTCAGTATACGGACAGTATACAGGTGTACACAGTATATATATATACTCAGTATTGCTCAATCATATTCCAGTTTCCAAGCTTGAAGAGGGTGCTCTTCTGCTAATCCATTTGGAGTGGAAGGGGTTGCTGATTGAGGATACCTTTGATGCCACGATCGAGACGATGCATCAGAGTATCACGTGGGATGCTAATACCCGCCTATACTATGGAACAAGTGGGGGAGTCACAGAGGCCAGGTCGATAAAAAACGGTAGGTTGGGAGAGGCCCACTTGATGTTTGGATGATTTTGGATGTCTATCCTGCTGTTTGTGGTTTTGCTGGACGGATCACATTTGCTGCCCATGTTGAAATATGTTAGCTGTTAGCATATGTTTGCATCATTTGGTGAACAGGGGAATGATTTGCCTGATGAAGAAAGGTGAGCTACACAGTGAGCTACTCATGCGCGCAGAATAACGACCTCATCCAGAAAACCCTCCTGGTGCGTGATTCCATACGCGCTGGACTTGGATTCGACAGCTAGCAGATCTGAGACTGGACTAGACATGAACTGGACACATTGTACCGAATGTGACTTCCTGGGCACTGTCGTGGGCTCCAGGCTTGTATGGGCCTGATCCTCATGTAGTGCGTGCTGGGCGTCACCGCTGGCATGAGGGCCAGTGCTGCTTGGAGAAGTATTATGATTATCGTCCTCATGGTGATACAGCGTTTGAGAAAGACGTGATGTAAAGACTGCTTGCCAGAGGAGTCCCTGCAACATGTCCTGCAGACGCCACTGACAGTCACTATGCGCTGCAGTGCTAGACCGCTAAGGTGAGATTTGCGATACCGCCCAAACGAATCCTGGGGAATCGAGCTGCATGTACTCGAGCGATAATTCAACGACCACGGACAGATGCGGTTTGAGCGCTACAGGCGAGCACGCCAGTCACACGGGCTTGCAAAGATGTTGGTATGGTCCAACATGGCAAATCTAAAAAGGACAAAAAAGGAATTACAGTATATACAATAAATAATTATTATTACTTTATGAATCATCGGATTTCAGTGGTGACCCTATTGTAGGACAAACATGGACGAACCCAAAACGAATACACGACCAGTATTGTCATGCTTTGACAGATGTGCATAGATAAAAGTTGCCCATTCCCATTCATCCAGAACGAGGAAAAGACTGCAGTAGGATAGGCTTAGATCCTGCATCGTGTCACAGTGTCAGCGCACTGCTAGGGGGGTAGCACCTGCAGCCCTTCACTTGTTGCAACCTAGGTAACATTCACAATCACGTCATTAGTTCTGCAATCTCCTGCAATGTTCTGCATTTACCTTGGAAGGCTGGAAAGCAAGCACTGCTGATGGAGCAGGGACCTATGTTGAGCTCGACCTCGGCTCCGACATGCTAGTAGCAGGCCACCTCGTGATATGTTGTGTTGCTGTATGGTTTGCACACGTTTGCACATTCGCATGACATTCCCGCGTGCCAGGAGTCGTCACTAAGGGTCATTCCATTGATGCAGCATGGATCAAGACCTTCACAGTGAAGTACAAAGCTGACAGCGGTAGTACGTTTACAGAGATTTCCGGGACCTTCACTGGAAATTCCGATCAGAACACGGAGGTGGAGAACATGTTCTCAGCCACACAGACGGCCAGATACTGGTAGCACGACTGCCACAAAGTCTAGGCTCTGGAGCAGGCTGTGAGGTATTCCTGTTCACGCTTTTCATCTAATGATTCTGGCTGCCAAGGCAAATTGTTGCACAGACCTACGAGCAAGTTGTTGCAGCCAGAGTTGCGATGATTGTGTGCAGCTCAACCAGTAGCTGGGGCTTGCAACAAGATGCAAGAACTGCATAGAACTGCAATACCATGGAACAGACATGCGGCACGAACCAACCGTAAAGGATCCAGAAGCAACGCTGCATTTCTGATCGCTGTTCGTGATTGAACTGCAGCTTAGGTGCAAACACCCATGCAGAGTGCATGTGCGGCTATGTCACACCCGTGAATGAAGATGACAAGTGTCGGACTGACGTGTCGGCAGATTGCATCGACACAACTGGTTTCTTGCCTGAAAACGACCATTCGACCATTTCAGCTGCCAGATGCTGCTAGACGATGCTCGAATTATTTGGGTAGGACCAATTTATACAACAATTTTATCACCCTAATCGGAGTCTAGGTTGATCCCTATTTTGTCCTAAGATGTGCATCGAAAGGCTCTGGGTGGAACATTGAACATGAAGGAAAATGTGGAAGTATGTGTGAAGTGACCGGGTTTCACCCGACTATCACCGGACTGACTGCCGATGGTGGAAACAAAGCAGGATGGGTGCTAGGAACAGATGCCTAAACGCCACTAAATCCATCTAAACATGCAACGTGAGTTTGAAGCGGGGTGTTTCTATAACATTCTATAACATTCTCCAATGTATCGAATTGGGTGTGACATCTTGTGACATCTTGTGACATCTTGTGACATCTTGTGACATCTTGTGACTAGGAGTCGCTGATTATACAGTGAATTCGGATGTCTCGGTGATCCAAGCCAAGGCACCCCAGGGACAGTCTCATTGGATGTTCCTTCCATCTATGCAATGGACCCTTGGTTGCGAACGGAGAGGGCTCCAGCTGTCCTTTATCCAGTATGCGTGCGTTGTTGGATCATGGCCAGATTGTGCAGCAACAGGTGTTCTTAGTCTGGCAGCGCCCATGGCTATTGTAATTTGTCGCAGTTCTGTTGCACATCATTGCTCACGATATCTTGCGACCTTCCTGCACTGACTGAGACCGTTGGCCAGACTGTCGTCACATATTCATGCTCTGGAGCGACATCCTACACACGAACAGTGGAAATCCGCAATGCCATTGATCTTATTGGCGGTGCCTCCGTTGTTGTCCCCGCTGGCGTTTCAGGCGGTGTTTATTTTCACATCATTTCATTTGTGAGCGTGTGAGTACTGATTCCAGTCCTTTCCAACCATTTTCTTTCTCCTGGCAAGTCCGATTCACCTTCGTAATGCAGGGTTTATTTGCAAATATTTGCAACTTGTAGAGATGTTCCCCCATGTTCAATTCATGTTCCCCCGTGGTCCCCCCTATGGACTACAGGACAGACACTGGGCCAGGCAGCTGGAGCGACAGCTCGGGTAATTTCATCGAGACTGGCAGCACCTGCATCACCCATGAGGGAGTGCAAGATACCCCAACGGCTGATCTTAGCTACCTTCCTTTCACGACGGAGCTACTTGGCATGAAGATGGGCAATATGATGCATGAACGAATATGAACAATACACAATGATACACAGAGTACTTGGGAGGTATCAACAGGATTGGGCATGAAGCTGTAACATGCACTTAGTCCAACCCACACTTTGAACATCTTTGAACTCTGAAGAGGGTGCAACTTCTGCTTCCCAACTGCCATCTGCCACCTGCCAACAGCTGCACCACAGGCGCACGTATGTGATCAACTACGACTGCAGACGACGTCAAGCTCCTACCCTGCAGCGCACGGTGTCAGTTCGATATCCGCACAGGCTAGGCTGACTGGGTCGGGGGCTGTAGCAAGACGATATATGGCCTGATGACGCCTGATGTGTGAATGTGAAGTGAAAACAACGGCATCGGAAAGGCGGATTGGTCAAACATTGGCACCACAAGAGACTCCCAAGATTTCGTAAGAATCAAACAAATCAAACGGTCGCACTGAGAACTTCACAGCATGTTGTAGCATGTCACAGCTATATCCAGCCGAAATCAGGTTCGAGGGCAATTCCAAGAAAGTCTGGACACTGGGAATCTTGGCGCAGAAGCTCCTGTGCCTTGCCGTGGGGGTGGATTCTTCCAAAATGTACTCGTACTAGCCCAACCTGGGGACCCAAAATTCTTGGGCTAAAGAATGATCCCGCCCCTAGGAGACGGCTCAAATTGAAGCCCGTCAAATCTTAATGTGCTGGTGCTGTACTTGTTCAAACTTCGTGCTCAATTGAGCCGCTCAGGAGCGGAATTTGGATCTATCGACTCACATTATGAGGATGCATGGTCATGTATTGACCTGACTGGTGCCACGCAAAGTTTCGATGGCTGCAAGCATTGTGTAGCATCATGATTGTGAAATTTGTGAATGATTATGGAACGGCTCTAATGCACGTGAATCATCTCCCGGAGTGTGACGCACCAAGAGTTCATGAATTTCATGAGACATATGAGACGGACAAGTCTTGCATCGCGAGGCTCCAGCAGGCTACCCACAACCAGTGATTCCGTTTTCTTCGACCGCTACTTTGAGAGTTACATCTCTTATCCATTCCCTTCATGCAGCACGGGGGTGCCAACCATTGTCCGAACAGGCTCGTCGAGCTCGTGTCATCTCGTGTCAAATTGTTTTCACTTTGCATCACTTTGCAATGACTGCATGGATGCCTCATGATGCCTCTGTCATCCTCTGTCCAACACATGGAGATCATGGAGTTTGAAGGTGAAATTCGGCACCCGATCTACTTTCAAGGGGATCGTCAGGCGCGGGCATGGCCTGGACTCATTAATATTTGAGAGACAATCAAAGATGATGAATGATGAAACATGTGACATACATGTGACATACATCTGACATATTGATGACACATTGAGACAAGTAAATCATAACGAGGGTGACCATGGGTGACCACTGATACTGTCTATGTGCCAGTCACCACTTAAACCAAAAACTCGGATGGAGAAAACAGAGAAGCAGTGACGAAAAAATAACAGAAGATTGCAAGGGAGGAGACTTAATTGATCCTGTCTATGGACCAGCCAAGCTCAAAAGACCAAAAAGACCAAACAGGCGTGTAGTTACGGTATGTTACGGTGCTACGAGGAAGCGATGCAAATATCTATATAGAGCCGTTGTGCGGCCGAATGACCTCGGGTCAGGAGTGGCGCTTGGGAATTGGCATCAGCTCAAGTGGCACGATCACAACCTTGGGCCAGTCAGACTTCGACCAGCGATTCGCAGCCAGCTCTTTCAAAATAATCCGCCGGACCTGTCCAAATTGCGACAATGATTTTCAAGATATCTATTACAGAAGGCGAGGCACCAGTCAGACTTGGCGTGTTGTTTCAAGTACAGTACAGTAAATGCTGTTTTTGAAGGCAACTGCCCCCAACTGCAATGCATGCAGGGGTACCATGAACATGCAAACCTCATCAATCCTGCAGAAGCGGTGTGTGCGGCAAATGTAGCTACGATATAGTAACCCCGTGACAGGCTGACTGACATGCCGAGTACCTTTTCCGCCTACATGATGATGGCATGTGAGTGGACGTCCACCGGCAACACTGGAGGACTGCCATAGACTGCCACCAGACAGTCTTGTTTATGTCTTGTTTATGTCTTGTTTGTGTCTCGCTTATTGATCTTATTGTTGTTCTGAACAATTCGGGGCTAAATTTGATTAAAATTGTAGGTCGGGTAGTGAGGGGGATTCGACCTGATTGTAGGGGTGTCCATGATCGGGAGAGGCACAGACTTTGCGATCTATCCTACCTTGGCTGATGCCTTAGCCGGCACCAATGCCTGGACTTCGTATGGCTTTGGTGGAACGGATGTTGGCTTCCCCGGCACTTCCGGCCCGTCATCAGCCTCCAGCAATCAATACAGCAGCATCGCAGTGTCAGAATGTTCATCATCCGCATCACAGACGGGTCAGCAAAGCAACTTCTACATCTATGAACCTTAGCTTAATGCCTGGACAGTATCCTTTTGCAGATGTTTGAACCCCCCATTGGAAAATGCAAAATGCGACCATGAAATTGCAGATAGTAGCGTCGCTTTATTATTTGATATATTTTGATTTTATTTGTGTGGCTTTCTATAGTTAGTAGCACAAAAGAGCCCACAAAGGACTATGCTTCAACCAAAGTTCCTGGGACGTGCACGCGCTCCGTGACCGTCGGAAACGGTGCACATTGCAAGCATGATGGAGGCGTTGAAGCACGTTTGGGCTTCCTGATGTACACGAAAACGAATCGAGATACTCGATGGTCCTCCACTACTGCTGCGTCTGGTGGCTACACACAGAACTTAGTTTGTGCACGATTCACTGGTTTGGAATGGCAATACCTTGAAGATTCAACTTGGACAAAATTCACTCCGGTGCCCACCGATGTGCTACTGGCGCGAATTGAGTTTGACAACAGCACCATTACATCATTGAAGAGTGAGGATGAGGAATTCTTTACGGTGAAAATGGGTTACGTGGATGGAGACTTGGAATTTTCCTTTGGAACAGATGTGATGGGCGTTGTAGGAACTTCTTTCGTGGCAAGGTGTGGTGAGGATCTTTGGTGTAGCGGTGGTGTTCGTGCCAACGGTGTGGATGGAGCATTGTTCTGCTGCAGTTCCAGCTGTGGAACCTGTGGGGGAAGTGATTGCGCATCCAACGGAGGCTTGGACATTTGCTGTTTGGATACCCTCCTCGATGCTGGAAGAGTCTGCCGAGATCACGATGACGTATCTTGCTTGATTCCCGAAACGTTGCTTGGATGAAGGAAGAACATGGAAGAACATTGAAGGACCTAGAGTCTGGAGGAATATGGGAAATGATGGGAGAAGGGATGTGAGGAAGCTGAATTCAGCATACCGTATGCTTGAGTATCGCTTGGTTTGTGCAATTTCAAAAGGGCTCCACGCCCACCAAAACATAACCAGTCTCGCAATTGGCTAAGACATTCTAATTCTAAGACAGTTGTCCGCGTCTGAGTTGCTGGCCATGTTTGTCGCACCACACACCTTCCATTCCCACTTTCAAGACATTTGGGGATCAGGGCTCAGGACAGGCACACGAAACTCCTCTTCGCATGGCCTCCAAACATCTTCCAAACATTCAGCTTATTTCAGCTTTAAACTTGAAAACCATTTCAAACCACCGTCCTTTGATCTCCAAAGGTCCGTCCTTTGCGGTGGCAACTTGCAGTTGAACAATTTTGAATCAGCGGATGTTATGGCAGCTGCGGGTTGGACAATTGACACTGCGGATGCGAACGTGTGGCAATCTGATTCTTCTTACATTGGATACCGGGGTTCGCCCTCAGCTGGCATTTCTTTAACTTTGAGCGGATATGGAACTCTGGAACTTACCTTCGGCAATGGCAATAATGCAGCTTCTAACACTGTTGAAGTTCTATTGGATTCCGTTTCGCAGGCAACGGCGAGCAGTTCGGAGTCAGAGAAAACGATTTCTGTAGACTTCACGAATGGAAATGTGTTGGCGATCAAGAACAACGGAGATTCAATTATCCTTGTGAAAGGTCTTGCCTTCAAGTGCATGTTTCAAGAGATGTGGCCGAGGGTTGTCATTCAATCGGGTGAGTTTGATGCACCTAGCGGGTATACCCCTTGGCCAGCGGAAGACTGCTATCATGAATTTGAACTTGAGGGTTCATGGACTGGCACCGTCAGTCTGAGTACATCCTCTGTTTCTACGGCCTCAGAAGGTATCTTCACAGTTGCTTACTCCTGCACCAAGGACAACGTTGAATCCACTCGATCTCTGATTGTCCAAGTCCGCCACCCGATCAGACTCAATGGGCTCCCTGACATGATCGTGCGCCAATCCTCAGGAGGAACCTTCAATGACCCGGGTGCGGCCTGTGTCAGTCGAGACCTTGTCCCACTGACAGTGACAGCATCTCCATCCTCCTTGTCATTGGACACAGTGGGTGAGTATACCATTACCTATTCTTGCACTGATAGCAGTTCAAGGACGTCCAGTAAGATCAGGAACGTGCAAGTGGCACCAGCCATACAGCTGCGTGGCGATGCGGTGATTGTGATCGAAAAGGATGTAACATGGAATGATCCCACAGCTCAGTGCACGGACGTGGACAACAAGGGTCTAATTCAGCCTACTGCTGGCACAGTCGATACGTCTCAAGTTGGCGACACTACTGTGACCTATTCTTGCATAGACAGCGCTGGAACTCAATCGACAGTGACGAGGAGCCTGACCGTGTTTTTGGATGTTCTTCGCACATTCTGAATCATCATGCAATTTTTGCACATCAGTCTCGAGCTTCCAGTCACCTAATTACAGTAAGTTTGAAACACATGGAATGTGTCGCAATCAGGTATGGTATGCCGGATTCTAGATGCAAAGACCAAAGCCCATCACCTATCAAACATTCTTTGTGAGATTTGGGCAGCTTGGGCATATACATGGCATATGTATATATATAATATAGGACTATGTATGTGCGTATATTGTATATGTATTCGTGCGAATACACATGCATACAGAAGATTACAGAAGTATGGAAAAAGTGTAGGGGAAAGGATGTGCTTTGCTGTGAGCGGCTCTGAACATGCGGCGACTCACGAGGAGAGTGATTGTTACCAGCGGCAACCCCCTTCCCTTTGTGCAAGGCCCTTCGGCAGGTATTCTTGTCTTGGGAGGCTTGGCATGGCTTGGCCAAACTTGGCAATTTCATGCAATTTCGCTGTAGCTTTTACTATTTTTTCATATTTTTTCCTATCTTTTTTCTTGACTCATTGGCCCATGGCCCCCCTGGGCCGGTTGTGGTTGTGGGACCGGGACATGGCACGAAAAATAAGGAAAACTGATGAAAACTGAATAACGAATTCTGCTATCATTGTGAGGAGTTGTAAGATGGACAGCTACATCTGCCTAGGAGCCATGCCTATAATATTTGTGCCACAGGGTTTGCAAATTTCTCCGGTCATCCCGTGATCGTTCCAGATTGTTCTCATCTATACAATGCCTGGGCGGTGGCATGTATTCGAGAGATTTCGAGAGCGTCAAACTGTCATCAGATGTACTCCGTAGTATCCTTTGTAATCCCCTACGTATTTTTCCGAAGTAAATGATATGAACATGTGCGACTGCACAAGTGCAAGTGATAGTTGATACTCGCAGAGGCTTACAAAAGGGCAAGCCCCTTGTTAGTCCCTTAGTAACTTAGTAGCTCCGGGTCAATTTTCACGACCTTGGTCTCCTTGGGGTAGTCTCAACTACTCAGGAGAGCAGTTCAGCGAGCCCGGGGTGTGCTGTCGAGACAGTCACAACCAAGAGCTTCCTTTCACAAGCGTGCTAAATACAGCAGACACCAACCGGACTGGAACTCAAACTCTCTTCTACAGCTGCACCGGTTCCAGCTTTGCTCAAACTGCTAAGAGAATCCTCACAGTGAACAACAAACCGCGGATTTTTCTGACAGGCGACGCAAACACCCTCTCTCTCCTTGGTGACAACTATTCTGACGATGGTGCAGTGTGCACAGATGTAGAAGATGGTCTCATCACTTCTTGGGGTTCTGCAGGCTTAGGTTCAGCACAGACGCTTCTTATCATTCGTGCTGGCTACAGTGGAACCCTGACAAAAGGTGTGGTTGAAAACATTTTTGATGGAGATGAGGCGAGCTCTACAACATACGCCTGTGAGTCTTGCGTTGAAGTCGACTCTTCAAGTTACATTTGGGTGGACTTGGGGGCTGGTAAGGTTGTGCATTCTGTGGCATTGGCAGCGACTGTGACCGCAGCCAGCTTGAAGGTGGGGCCAGACGTCGACGTTGGTCCCACATGCAAGACGGGTATATCACTGTCCACTCTTGGAAGTGCAAGCACTGGCACACAGGAGTGTGATGCACCACTGGTGGGGAGGTTCGTGACTCTGACAGGTTCCAGCTCATCCATGAAGGTTTGCGAAATTATCGTGTACGGTACTGTTGGGCCTGCAGCGCCTTCTCGGATCAACATCACTGGCAGCCCATCTGGATGCACAGGCGTAGATTCCAACTCTTTTGAACTGCTGGCCAGGATAATTCGGGATTGGGAGTTAGCTATTCAATTCAGGCAGCTGGTAGCTATGGTGAGATGAGGACAGACCTTGGAACAGGGCCTCTTCTGCAGACTGAGCTGGTCAATAGCATTGTGCAAGGAACTCGAGGCTCAGAAATTTGGGCACTTCGGGACTCAAATCAAGCCGAACAAGCGCAGGCTCCGGGGGGTGAAAGCTTTCCTCCATTGGAACCATCACAATGGACTGTGACCACTTCTGGGGCAACCTGCACAAGTATCACCTTTGGCATAGATCCTGCGGACTCATGCGCCTGGCTTTTTGGACCTGCAAGTGCGGATGACACGCAGCTTGGAGAGCACAGAGCCGCCTTTTCATACAGTACCTGTTGTAGCTCCTCTACTTTCTCTGACTACCTCACCTTGCGTTTACAAACTTATAGATGGTGTATATATATATATATATTATACGTATTATTAAATGCACACACACACACACCCACATATTTTTTAAATAAATAAATAAATAAATAAATATATATATATACATACATACATCTACATATATGTTTTTCCCGAATATACTTAGGATACATTTATACATCGAAAATACACATGATCTGTACTGTATATGAATATATTTATATTTACAAGATACTATACAATTTATAATATATAGTAAACAGTAAATATATGTATGTAATATCTATTAAACAAATAGACGAGGCATGTTGCATGTCACTGTCTGGATTGTCGCAGGCCATCCCCATATCCTATGACATTCCAAGATATTCCAATGCATCTAGCAGCTCTAGCATCATTTGAGCATCATTTCGACATCATTCCAGCACATTTCAACCAGTCGTCTTGGGTCTCTTCGGACCGGTGAAGTTGCAGGTATGGCTGTGGAGATGGCAGTGAGTGTAACTCAGAGGGCTGTTGTGTTTCCCTCGGCGGGGTGGCCCACTGCCCACCAAACAAACCACGGATGTGCGAGGCACAAACCTGCAGTGGTGCCTTGATACTTGAGCTATGCCGTGGGAAAGATCGGGGTGTAACATGGTGCCACGGGACATGCCAAACTATGTCCATGTATGTTTTTTCCATGTAAAAAACACTAAAAAACCATGTGACAGTTATATGAAAATGATTGTGACAATCATGTTTAAGAATGACACTGCCACATGAGCCACCGCAAAAACTCTGGGATGGATATCGATTGCCAGAAATGGTACAAACATGAGATAAGCGATGGGGCCTTCCCAATAGCCATACCCCCTTTGAAGGTTGCGTCATAGGTGTGCACATACATCATTATCATCATTGTCCTTTAAATGATACCACCCAAATTTGCCATAATTACATCATTTTCGTGCAAACGTATGATAGACGGTGGGACATTCCCAAATTTGTTGATGTCACTTTTAGTGAACCTTCAGGTGACTACTGCTGTGATACCGATTGTGCCTTGGCGGCAGCAGATGTACTCCTTGAAGTGCAGACGACTGTGAGCCTCACCTGGGTTTGCTGTGTTCCCGAGCTGAGGTACATCTTTGAATGGCAACCGGCTTTGCAAGCAGAGTGCCACTTCCAGCAGCACTGGTAGTACCAGCCTTGCAAGAATGGAGGTGATCAATTCAGTATTAGCTGACACACCTGCGGTCTACAAGGTTACCTACACTTGCCGCTTTTATGCAGACTAAGCGTTCCCTTAAAGTGCTATAGTAGATTGTGCTATGTCATCTATGTCGGTATCTGGCTTTCACTTGGAATGTTTTGAAATGTGGGGCCGCGGTTTCACCGGAGGTCTCGCGAGATTTGTCTGGCTGCAGTTCTGCAATTTCCAAAAACAGTAATAAGTTTTAAAGTTTGTTATGCATTAAAGTGTAGAAAGTGATTTAAACATATTTAAACCATCTTAGACCATATAAGATAATACAAGATAATCTTTAAGCATTTGATGTGTTCTGCTTGTGTCCTGAGGCTACGACTCAGCAGGGGCACATGTTTCTTCCACCAGAACCGTGGAGGTTGCCTGCGAAGAGCCCAATCCTGGCGGGACCTACGGTGGAAACCGTGTGGCGTGCTCGACCACAAAAGCGACGTGCCGAGCCAGCCAAGTGGCAGCCAACTGCGAGTAGGTAGACATAGGTAAATGGATGGTAAATGAACGGTAAATGATTTAGAATGGACAAATTATCAAGATACCAGTGATACCGCAGAATATTCAAATGTACTATATATAAATGTACTGGTATTGAATGTATTAATGTATTGGGGCTTAATATATGTGATGTGCCTGTCCTGAGGCGAAGCTTAGAGAAAGGAACAATTACCCACATAATTACCCCAGTGAAAGAATAGAAAGAGCGAGAGAGAGCGAGAGTTCGAAGCAATGCATATTTGTGCATACGCCGCATTGACGTCGATTGACATTTGGCAGTGGCCGCGCAAAGCCATGATTCCTTGATATTCCTTGCTTAAAACTTTTGAGAAGCAAACGTGAATAATTAATAACAATGATATAGTTGAGCATTTGTGGACACATGTTTTACTGTATCGATCAGTTGTGCATGACGGGTGGAACCTTTGGCTGGCATCAGTGAATATTTCTTGAAACATGTCGTGTGCCAAATACCGCCACTGTCGTGCCAAACCTTATATTGGAGCACATCGCATTCTCTTGCATTTCATATGACATGCAAAAGCAACCGGGAGTTCTCTTTGTTTGGAGGATTCAACTGCTTTGTTCATCTATTTTGCGGCCCTTTGTGCCAGCTCTGCAGGCATGAGGGAGTTGCAGACTATCAATCTTGTGAGACGAGATGCGTCACAGCCGGCTCGGATGAGTGCGTGGCATACCAGTATTTTGCCAATGGCACCTGCCATTTCATGACGCTTTGCACAGGACAACTTGTCACAATAAAGCCGTGGTGAGATTTATCAAGATCTATGCAGGCACCAGCCTTGTATTTGGGAAGCAATACACTGACACACGATGACAAAATGTGGTCAATGTGGTCCGATACGCGCTTAAACATGCACATGTGGCTGTACATACCAACGCATGAATTTGCACATACACAGACACAGACACAGACACACACACACACACGCATACGTATACATATGATTACATATGTACACACAGACATATTTGTGCACAATATACCCTTAGAGAGAGAGAGAGATAAATAATTAGATAGATAGATAGATAGATAGATAGACAGACAGACAGACAGACAGACAGATAGATATTGAATAGCCCGTAGCTGGTTTAAAACGTTTGGCCAGTTTCGGTGCCCGGGGGGGGGGTATCGGTGCACGATTCTTCCCGACTGGTATATACTGGTGCAAAGGTAGGTCTGGGCTGTTTTTTGTGCTTCGGCTGGCCTGTGCAAGACATGTTTTTTTTTGTTTGTTGGAAAGCCTCCTTTTTGGGGCCAAACATAGAAAAATAAGGTGCTGATCATCCATTGTTTGGTTAAAACTTTTTTTTTGAGAATCCATAATTTGGGGTTCCGGAAATTTATGAGAATCCATAATTAGGGGTTCCGGAAAATTTATGAAAATTCTTGGCGGTTTCCATAAATACCGAATACCGTAAATAGTAAAATAGTCATTACCCTTGCCCAGCGGGTTTCCTTCAAGACATTGGCCTTTTTTGAGCAAGTTACCCATCCCAGCGTTCACCAGTGGCAATAAAACTCGTCTGAACAACACACACACACACACATATATATATATGATATATATTATATATATTCAAATTTTGGCCAAAATCTGACATCACTTGTGGCAAATTTCAGCACCGCTTTTTGCAAATCGGGAACCAGTCAGGAACTACTCGGAAATGGTCAAAAATCGACCAAAAGTGCCGAAAACCGAGCAACAACCAGCTGAAACCCTAGGCTTTGACGTACCAAGCCAAGTAGCAATCCTTTCAAAAGGCACGGCATCCTTTTGCCATGTGTAGCCAAGATGGCGGCTGCAACTATGTTCCTAATGAGCATTGAATTTCCATGCCTTGGGACTGGTTTGTTGACTCTTGACATCCTTTGCCCCTAAAACCAGAATTTTGACACCAAACTTAGAAGTTTTTGCCCCTGCTTAAGCAATTTTGGCACCACAGGCGGGATTAGCAAACACCAGGTCCAAACACCGGTTTTATGCCATTTGAGCCCCACATTTTCACCAAAAATCACATTTGAAGCATCACAGTTTTATTTCCGCGGGCACCTTTTCCATTTTCCAACCCCTTGCCGTGCACCCCCCGCACCGCCCACGTTTTAAAGCCAGCTACGGGCTGGGCAAGATAGATAGATAGAAAGAGAGACAGATTGATAGATACACAGGTAGATAGAGAAACAGACAGAAAGACAGCCAGATAGATAGCTAGATAGATAGATTGGATAGATTGGATAGATTGGATAGATTGGATAGATTGGATAGATTGAATTGATTGGATAGATTGGATAGATTGGATAGTTTGGATAGATTCGATAGACTAGATAGACTAGATAGGCTAGATAGGCTAGATTAGATAGATTATATTAGATAGATTAGATATTTTGGATAGTTTCGATAGATTCGATAGATTAGATAGATTAGATAGATTAGATATTTTAGATAGATTCGATAGATTCGATAGATTAGATAGATTAGATAGATTAGATAGACAGATAGACGGATGGATGGATGGATAGATAGAGATGGATCGATAGATTGGTTGATTGATCAGATTAGATTAGATTAGATTAGTTTAGATTAGATTGGATAGATTAGAATAGATTGATGGATAGATAGCTAGGTAGGTAGCTAGCTAGGTAGCTAGCTAGGTAGGTAGCTATCTAGGTAGACAGATAGATAGAACTATGTACAGACACACACACACACACATACGCACATACACCCACATACCCATATACACATTCACCCATACACCCATACACGGATATACAGATGCATGAATGCATGCATCCATGCATGCATGCAAACAGACAGACAGACAGACAGACATACATACATAATTACATACATACATACAGACAGACAGACAGATAGACATACATACATACACACACACATACATACATACATACATACATACACATACATACACATACATACACATACATACACATACATACACATACATACACATACATACACATACATACACATACATACACATACATACACATACATACACATACATACACATACATACACATACATACACATACATACACATACATACACATACATACACATACATACACATACATACATACATACATACATACATACATACAAATACATACAAATACATACAAATACATACAAATACATACAAATACATACAAATACATACAAATACATACAAATACATACAAATACATACAAATACATACAAATACATACAAATACATACATACATACATACAAACATACATACAAATAATACACATACAAATACATACACATGCATACACATGCATACAAAGACATACAAAGACATACAAAGACATACAAAGACATACAAAGACATACAAAGACATACACAGACATACAAAGACATACAAAGACATACAAAGACATACAAAGACATACATAGACATACAAAGACATACAAAGACATACAAAGCCATACAAAGACACACAAAGACATACAAAGACATACAAAGACATACAAAGACATACAAAGGCATACAAAGGCATACAAAGACATACAAAGACATACAAAGACATACAAAGACATACAAAGACATACAAAGACATACAAAGACATACAAAGACATACAAAGACATACAAAGACATACAAAGACATACAAAGACATACAAAGACATACAAAGACATACAAAGACATACAAAGACATAGACATACATAGACATACATAGACATACATAGACATACATAGACATACATAGACATACATAGACATACATACATACATACATACATAGACACATAGATACATACATACATAGTGCCAACGGCTGAAAGCCGTACGTTTTTTTTTTGCACGCTTTTGCTGTTTTTCTTCCGTTTTGGACCGATTTTTGTAGGTAAGGATGCGTTTTTCCAAAAAAAAGGGGCGACGGGGGGGGTTGAGGTGGGAGGGGGCTAGTAACGTTTTTTCGCTTTTCGCCCAAAAAGACATTTTCTCATATCATCTCTTCTATCGTGCTGTGCGCTACCTTCTTGGGATCTAAAAAACATATATCACTACGGTACCAGTAGTACCGCACAAGGCGGTGGCGGAAGTTTCAAAAATAGGAAACCTATAGGAGAGCTTGGTTGTTGTGAATCCGGGATGGCAGAGCGAAGCCACTGATGGACTGAAAGGTGCTTGATCTCTCTCACTCTTTCTCTCTCTTTCTCTGACTATCTACCTACCTACCTATCTATTTTATTCTATTTTCTATGTATCTATCTATCTATCGATCTTTCTAGTGTAGTGTAATGTAGCGTAGTGTAATTTAGTGTAGCGGTGTGTAGTGGAGTGTAGTGGAGTGTAGTTGTGTAGTTCTGTAGTTGTAGTGTTGTGGAGTGTAGTGTAGTGTAATGTACTGTAGTGTGTGGAGTGTATAGTGTAGTGCAATGTAGTGTAGTGTAGTGTAGTGGAGTGTATAGTGTAGTGTAATGTAGTGTAGTGTAGTGGAGTGTAGTGTAATGTGGCGTAGCGTATTGTAATTTAATGTAGTGGAATGTAGTGGAGTGTAGTTGTGTAGTTCTGTAGTTGTAGGTGTAGTGTTGTGGAGTGTAGTGTAGTGTAATGTACTGTAGTGTAGTGGAGTGTATAGTGTAGTGTAATGACCCGAAGCGAAGCGAAGCGACATCTGAACCTCCAAAAGTGGTCCGAACCCCTAGTGTTTTGTACATTTTGACTTCGAAATGTGCTTTGCGCCACAACGGCGTGCACTTTTTCGACATCTGAACTGCCAAAAGTGGTCCGGACCTGGTGTGTTTTGTACATTTTGACTTCGAAATGTGCTTCGCGCCACAACGGCGTGCACTTTTTCGACATCTCAACTTCCAAAAGTGGTCCGAAGCTGGTGTGTTTTTTTTGAACATTTTGACTTCGAAATGTGCTTCGCGCCACAACGGCGTGCACTTTTTCGACATCTCAACTTCCAAAAGTGGTCCGGAGCTGGTGTGTTATGTACATTTTGACTTCGAAATGTGCTTCGCGCCACAACGGCGTGCACTTTTTCAACATCTCAACTTCCAAAAGTGGTCCGAACCCCTCAGTTTTTAACACATTTTACTTCCAAATGTGCTTCGCGCCACAACGGCGTGCAACTTTTCATCTCTCATCTCCCCAGATGTCTCCGCACCCGCCGCTTTAGCGAGCCTACTTTTCAACCCTCCGGAGCCACAAAACCACGAAAAAACATGAAAAAACACAGTGTTTCGCGACTTTCCTACCTTTTCGCGCACCTGCATCTTCTTTCTTCTGATCTTTTCTGTTCTGACTCTTCTCCCTGCTGACTGCTTTTTCATCTCTCCATATTGTCGGAAGTTTGACTTCCAAACTTCCCTCGATAATGTCTTCCTCCTTTGCTTCAACATGCAGTGTGCTTCATTTTGTTCTGATCTAACATGACAATTTTCCTCCTGATTCAATTCAGCATGTACTACGCTACAATTTCTCTCCTGATCTTATTGGAACGATTGACAGCATTTTGAAAAAGATGAACCGCTGTGTCCCTCAGAACTTGAAGGCCAACAGCGACAGCATTCCTTGTATTGAAGGATGTTTCGATGGAGATTCCTGCGCACAGACAGCCAAGAACTGCTGGCTTGTGGAAGCTAACAGATCTTGCAACGGCCAAGTTTACAGAGTTGCCCGCGTGAATGGCCCATTTTTTGAAGACATCACGGAAAAGGCAAGGACATGGACAGGTTTTCCATGGTTTTCCGATATCAACTCCACGTACCATTTCCGGGCCGGCCGGATATTCATGTGCAAGATGCACATGATATACATATAGAATCACATACATACACACACACAAACACAGACACACACACAGAATATATATATACAATTATATACACACACACTATATTACTATATATTATATATACACACACTATATTACTATATATTATATATACATACATACATAATTCATACATACATACATACATACATGCATGCATACATACATGCATACATACATACATACATACATACATACATACACGTTTGTGCCAACGGCTGAAAGCCGTACGTTTTTTTTTGCACGCTTTTGCTGTTTTTCTTCCGTTTTGGACCGATTTTTGTAGGTAAGGATGCGTTTTTCCAAAAAAAAGGGGCGACGGGGGGGTTGAGGTGGGAGGGGGCTAGTAACGTTTTTTCGCTTTTCGCCCAAAAAGACATTTTCTCATATCATCTCTTCTATCGTGCTGTGCGCTAGACCTTCTTGGGATCTAAAAAACATATAACATGCACTACGGTATAATGTCTTCCTCCTTTGCTTCAACATGCAGTGTGCTTCATTTTGTTCTGATCTAACATGACAATTTTCCTCCTGATTCAATTCAGCATGTACTACGCTACAATTTCTCTCCTGATCTTATTGGAACGATTGACAGCATTTTGAAAAAGATGAACCGCTTTGTCCCTCAGAACTTGAAGGCCAACAGCGACAGCATTCCTTGTATTGAAGGATGTTTCGATGGAGATTCCTGCGCACAGACAGCCAAGAACTGCTGGCTGTGGAAGCTAACAGATCTTGCAACGGCCAAGTTTACAGAGTTGCCCGCGTGAATGGCCCATTTTTTGAAGACATCACGGAAAAGGCAAGGACATGGACAGGTTTTCCATGGTTTTCCGATATCAACTCCACGTACCATTTCCGGGCCGGCCGGATATTCATGTGCAAGATGCACATGATATACATATAGAATCACATACACAGACACACACACAAACACAGACACACACACACAGAATATATATATATACAATGATATACACACTATATATACATACATACATACATACAGACAGACAGCCAGACAGACAGACAGACAGACAGACAGACAGAAAGACGTGCATGCATACATACATACATACTGCATACATACTACATACATTACACACATTACATACATTACATACATTACATGCATTACATATATGTTACATACATTACATACATTACGTACATTACATACATTACATACATTACATACATTACATACATTACATACATTACATACATTACATCCATTACATACATTACTACAAGACATTGCTGTTACATACAGTAACGTTAAAACTTACATATCATAACATACAGACAGGCCAGGTAAAGACAGGACATACATTACATACATTACATACATTACATACATTACACTACATTACAGACAGGACATGACAGTACATACAGGGAAGGACAGTACAGACAAACGACGGACAGAACATTACATACATTACATACATTACATACATTACATGCAGTACATACAGTAAATACATAACATACATTACATACATTACACACATTACACACATTACACACATTACACACATTACACACATTACACACATAACACACATAACACACATAACACACATAACATACATAACATACATTACATACATTACATACATTACATACATTACATACATTACACTACATTACATTACATTCCATTCCATTCCATTCCATTCCATTGCATTGCATTACATTGCATTACATTACATTACATTACATACATTACATACATTACATACATTACATACATTACATACATTACATACATTACATACATTACATACATTACATACATTACTTACATTACATACATTACATACATTACATACATTACATACATTACATACATTACATACATTACATACATTACATACAGTACATACAGTACATACAGTACATACAGTACATACATTACATACATTACACACATTACACACATTACACACATTACACACATTACACACATTACACACATTACACACATTACACACATTACACACATTACACGCATTACACACATACACACGTACATACATACATACATACATAGATACATAGATACATAGATGCATAGATACATAGATGCATAGATACATAGATAGCTAGATACATACATACATACATACATATATATATAACAACCCCATATATAATTTATGGTATATATATATATATCTAGGTGCGCGTGTCATGCCATCGATTTCATGGAAGTTGTCATCAGTTTCGAAGAAGTTGTCATCTTTCGCAGAGGTTGTCATTGTTGCGCAAACCCCCTAATAACGTTCGTGTTCAACCTCTGCTGAATGAACTGCCTCTCAATGGCGTACATGCGTATGATTATGTACGCACATAGATATATACTCATAGAGTACGGCCTGCATAGTTTATTGAACTAGTGAAACAATATTTGGCATCAAGGAACTGTCTTTTAGCCTTGATAGCTGTGATATTTTTCACAACAGTTCATGTATTGTACAATTCTTTTGCGCATGGTGAGTACGGAAATGTTGGAAAACCCTGCATCAACCTACCTCATGTTAGGAAGGGCTTTGTGTGAAGTGGCAGGACGCTATTTCATGATGGTCAACGACACAGACCGCTACGTGGCATACTGTCGGCGGGTTGACACTCCTCCAAGCGTCTTCTTGGCAGATGGCACGAGTTGGTTTCTGTTGGGTGCTGTCGCCACAGCTGACTCGCTTCCAGATGTAACTTGCACAGATTCCGAAGATGCTGGAAATATGAAAAGTCCTACGAATGACTTCGACACTAAAGTCACTCCATATCTCAGCACTGCTGGCAACTATTACGCGACTTGGTGTGCAGACTTGGATTGCTACTGCAGGTCTTGAAATACTATGCAATACCTCAGCACTCCGTCGGAATGGATTCGACCGCTTTGAATCAATGCAGACTTAGGTGGTGTATACTTGCACAGACAGCGCAGGGCAGTCTACATCTGCGACACGGACGGTCACGATCAAAGACAGTTGCTCAGTGCCCACTGTGTCGAAGGCCTCCACAGGGTATTGTGCAGAGGGAACTACCTTGGCACATGGGGCTACGTGCACGCGCAGGGCTTAGCCACAGAACCGTATATAGAGGTCTGAAAGGTTCTCAAAATTGGTGAAAAACCGATTGTCAGTGATTTTCAGTATTTTGCTAGCCAACCTCCCGCAACAGAACATGAGATCACATACAGTATAGAGGTTTCTGTTCACTGATCGAGCATTCATGTTGAGATGCGCCTTTTGGCGAGGTCAACATGCAATGACGGCTACGCCCCGCGAAATCCATCCCACACGTGTACGACAACGTCCGACACAGACTATGCATCAGCATTGGACCCTTCAGTAGTGCCTGGGACAATTCTAGGGGGAACATTTGCACAAACCATCCAAAATATAAAAACTTGTTTGTAGCCTTGCATGTGGCATAGCATGTGCACTCAATTGAGTAATGTTTTGAAGACGCCGCGTGGATTCAGTGTGGCGTTGCATTGCTTCTCTTTTGTATTGCCCCTTGGCTCAAGCTCCAAAGAAGCATGCTCCCTGTGCCAGATTCTCGGGTTTGAGGCTGACATCCCATGGCTGTCACTTCATTTTATGAGATCCCAACTTCGGCCATTGTTTTTGCAAGCACAATTGCTCCTCTTTCTTCTTCCCAAGGCGCGATGTGGACATGATCTGAGAGAGGCCTTCTCAGTTGAATCCATTCCTCCTTTCTGCAAGAAGGCAGTGAAACGTTTGCGAAGCCCGGTTGTCTTTTCGCAACTTGCATTGTGGGAGACATGCTGCGATCCGTTTCGCTTTGATGTCTATGGCCATCGGTCAGTTTGCTTTAAAGGTGCAAGCACCTGGGAGGTTCAGAATTGTTGCGCTGCCTTGCAAAAGCCCTGGCACTTCGACATCATTCTTCAAAAAGTGGTCACATCGACAGAGAAGAAGAGAAACAAACTGGAAAGGCACCTAGCAAAAGTACGCAATTCCCTGAATGAATTTGGTGTGGTGACCTACCACAAGACTGGCACGTTTGTTGCAACACAGCTTCTCGGGTACAACTTGCAGCAGGGCCCTTTGGCAGCTTTGTTGCTTGGAAATTCCTCAAGGCGCTGGGAGGCGGGTCTTTGGGAGAATGCAAGTATAATAGAGCAGGATATTGAGGGAATTTCAACGTGGATGAGGGAGAGTTCAGCTGGTCGAATTGCGCTGCTATACAGTCCGCCCGAGCATGACATGGCTGCACAACGCAGGCTCTACTTCACACTCGCTGCGGGCAAGCTGATTCACTTCATCCGCAGACCATCCGTAAGCCGTCAGGAATACGTGCAGGTGCTTTGTATTTTGTTTCTATTGGAATTCTATTGGGCATATTGACATATATTGACTGATTTCAATTTCCTCGTGGAATAGTTCACAATTGGGATCCACTTGGGGAATCGATTGCGATTTTTGCTTAATTAGGCACGCACTCAGCAAATCTAAGGACGTTATCGTCTCGGCGTACGTATATCACTTGCAGGGCTTCCGATTCGAGTATTGGATGCACACCAGTAACCCTCCAAACTGTCACCATTGTGACTTTGAAGCTTGGGACGTGATTTTTCGCCCCTGCGCATTCCAATGTACATTTTTCAATCGACTGCGTCAGCTTGATTTGAAGGAAGGCTTGAGGGTGGAAATCTTCCGGGCAAGGTGGACGATAGCCAAGATGCTAAACAATTGGAATCGTTGGAAGACAGCGTCAAATGTTTTGCACATCCAGGCTAAAGACTTCACGAATCTAACCGCATCACTATACAAAATTGCCAAGTTCTTAAGACCTAATGTGAAGCCAACCTCACTTGGCCGGCTGGTCAGCATGGCACAGGCCTGGGGTCTAGACCTAAAATATGCGCGTCGGCAGTGCGAGTCTGAGTTATCTGAGTTATGCACCCCGCATTTGCAGTTTGCCCTTAATCACGCCTCGTCTTGGCGAGAACCGGACAGATTGAGAGCACAAGAGGCTCTGAAAGCGATTCCTGAATGGCGCACATACATCAAGCCAGCTGATGACTTCTTCGACAAACTTATCAAAGGTTGAGCCGCTACAACGTTTAAAATGTTTGGCCAACAAAGGGCTGAGGACACAGCACATTACAGAACCCACCTGGACTGTGGACGTCTTTGGCCTTCGCAAGGCAACCTCTACTGAGCTGGCTCTTGGAGCGAACCGGCCTGAGAAGGGTTTGGTTCGGCAACTGGAAGACATAAAGCCGTGCATCCTCTGAATCCTCGACAAGGATGTCATGCAAATGCGAAGGAAGTTTGCAACGAAGACCAGGCGTAGACTCTGATAATCTTCAGCAAAAAGGTGAACGCGCCAGGTCACCCCACCATGCCCTGAACGGGATGGAAGAGCTACTGTAGCTAGGTCGTATAGGTACAGCATAATAACTAATAACTATATTTTAATGATGTATATATACATATATAATCATATATAATTACGTATAATTATAGACAGTATCAGTACAGTATATATTATACATATTGTGTATGTGTACATATGATTATACACACGTATAATCTTATAGATAGTTATATATGTAATATAAACATATCATATCATTTTGTGATGTATATACATATATATATGCATCTTTTATCTACGTATGCATATTTAAACTTAGTACTTGTAATAGAAAACAAACAGCATGTGCACACACACATCATATATAAAATATATATACTGGTTGGTGGTTTGGATCATTTTTATTTTTCCATATATTGGGAATAATCCTTCCCATTTGACTAATATTTTTCAGAGGGGTTGAAACCACCAACCAGTATATATAGGCTGGTCCAGGCTTCTGGAACTGCGTAAACCTGAATACGATTGGGGGGTGGGGTGGGGTGGAATGTTAACGTTCATGTGAACTTGCGGCAGCAGTTGATGCTACGCACACGCTGGGTGGGGGGGGGTGGAATGTTGACGTTCATGTGAACCATGGTTGTCGCAATGGTGGACCGTACTACACCAAGAAAGCGACCCACAAACATCTGAAAGGACAGCCAGTTGGGAAAAACAAGAAAGCAACCGTGGCCGGCACGCAGAGTTTGGATGGTTGGTGGAAATCACCGAAAATGAATTTGCAGGTGTGAAATCCTCGTGTGAAGATGTTGTGGATGCCCGTGTGGCTCGAAGCCAATGGCATCACTGGATTGGCAACAAGGACCCCTGGAAGACACAGGGAGAGGTCCTCAAAGCTGTGCGAGACTTGCAGCTGCTGTGAAGAAACAGAAAAAAACTGGTCTCACATGTTTCTGGTGATGATGATACTGATGATGATGATGATGATGATGCTGATGATGATGATGATGATGAACATGACCCAAATGAAACTTGTTAATTCCGCGACGAAATTTCGTCACGGAATGGACAAGTTTTACCAACCTAATTCAGGTTTACGCAGTTCCAGAAGCCTGGACGAGGCATATACCACCAACCAGTATATATACATATATACATTAGTTGACACTGCATCTTATAAAAAAGCGAGGCGAAGGATGCCGAGATGAATTGAAACTTGCATTTGCAAACCAGTTCCGAGGCATCATGTATCCATTCCGCAACACTTATTAGCATATCATAGCATATCATAGCATATTATAGCATATCATAGCATATCATAGCATATCATTGCACCATATAAGATTGCATATCTCAAGAATATCATACGATTGGCATGATACAATGCAATACAACATCAGGCAAATATTATTTACACACACATATATACACATGTATATACCCATAATACGATGTACCTTACATAACTGGAACACCATATGTACGATATTTTCAAGTCATACTGTACTATACAGGTTTGACCGTTATGTGTATATATATATATGTACATATGTATACATATTTACAAATGTACATATTATACATACACATTGCTCGTTCACTACGTTTTTCTCCCAACACGACCATGTCCGGCTGTAATCCCTCTCCTTTTAGATCTTATTGTGCGTTGTTTTCCTGAAATATTGGACGTGTCGGACTGGTTCACGCAGTATGAATCTCTCACGTTGAGGCAGTATTTGAAGCAGTAATTATGTTGAAATATGCTCTCGTTGTTCCCCCAACATTATGTTGAATAAATACTATATAATATCTTAGTACACCCATTTTAGGCTTAAGTTACTGGAGGCTGCCGGAGGACATCAGAACCAGGCATTTAATGGAAAGAAATCGTCATCGGTAAAACCCACAATCTACGAAACACTATGACATGTGCATACGGGCCCCAAGTAGTCCCACGTACTTTAATATAGTACTACAAAAGCAAATATAAACAATACATCCACATCTAGATCTGTTTCTAGATCTCTAGGTCACCTGATTTTATTCATCCGTGCCTGCACACACACACACATATATATATATATAAATAAATAAATATATATATATATAATATAAATAAATATATATTTACAATATATATATATTTTTTCCCTACTGTCACGTTTTTGAATATTTTGGTGTCAATGTCCAGTTTGCCCAGCCTGATCGGACACTGAGACCCTTTGTGATGTTCTCCCGTGTGCAGAGCCCACAGTGGCTTTTTCTGCCACCAGGGCCGATGGCCCCTCAGCGGATCTCCAGGGACTGCGTTTCAGGCGTTTCATTTTTTTGTTCTATCTATTGAACCACCATTCGGTCGACAGAGAGAGACAGAGAGAACGAGAAAAGAGAACGAGAAAGAGGAAGAGGAAGAGAAAGAGAGTGGAAGAGAGTTAGATTAGATCGAGAGAGGGGAGTCAACCCAAAGTATCCCAAAGTTACATCCGCTATAGATCCACATCGGAGCCTGTAAGATTTGATATTTGGGGAGGCTGTAAATTCGACCCGTCGTCTTTGCCGTTGCAGACCACGTCAGACAGCTTAAAGTCTTGAAATATCTTGAATTTGTGCTGCTATGTGCTGCTTCATTTTAAGGTACGGCGCAATCCTGTAAAGAGAGCAACACAGCTGGCAACCTTGGTAGCAAGCAGTTCCAAATGCGCACAATGATCACAATGGGGCCTCTTTGAAGGGAAGATGCAGAGTACTATGCATTTACTTAGTGTTTTGGATTGTGGGATGACTCCGTGTGAGGAGAAGTTCCAGATTCAAGTGTGACTTGGCTTCGGCTTGGTGCTGCATTTTTGATCATTTTTGTATCCTTTGTTGTGCAGAAGCAAGATCCTCCAGAGTCATCTGGGGTCAGTTGCTTTAGTTTGCGACAGACTGAGACTTGCACGCCGCAATGCGCCACTGGCTATGTGGCCAAAGTCGATGGTGATGATGACGGGTTATTGTATTGCTTCGAGAAAGTCCTGACACCAACAACCTTTCGATGTGCCTGGTCCAACAGTTCCATGGGTGAAGATCAAGAGCGAGAGAGAGAGAGAGAGAGATGACAACAAAAATTGCTGAACTGCAGGGATAAGGATTTTTCCCCTATATGGCCCTATATCATGAACGAAGTCATAGCGAGACTGATCGAGACTGCCATGACGGGTGAGGCGACCTACCTGCTGCTCAGCCTTTGTCCATCTTCGCTCCATCCAGGCCAGAGCTTGGCTGCTTCTTTTGGGCGCTACACCACTTGCCCCGGCACTGGTAGTTTGATAAGACGCCGAGAGTGATGCAGTCACAATATGTCACAATATGGCACGATATGTCAAAATCCGATACAATCCATACACCCAGATTCGCTCAGTATGGAAGGTTTTGGCAGGCCCTTTTTTAGCGTTTTTCTGGTTTGAGTGTTCCAGCCAAGGCCAGCACCAGAAGGTGCTGTGGATATTACGCTGCTTGCCGTGTTTTAACGTTTTCCCCTTTCGCAGATGTGCGAAGCATTTGCAGCCATATCTCTAGACCAGGGGCAGTTTTGAATAGCCTTGGAGGAAATTCGTAACACTTGAAATCGAGTCCAGCACTGCATATCATTTTGGGTACAATGCGAAAGGTCGAAAAAAACACAACACAAGAGCCCAATGAACAGCGGCATGCAATGCTCAAGCACCTGACAAGCATACTTTGCATGCATGTTGGGAAGAGCATTCTGTTCAATACCATCACGGACTCGATTGAGGCTCAAGAACTTGCTTTGGACCAGAAGCATGCAATTTAACGTAGTTCATAACATTTATGCAGTGCAATCTAACAACGCAACACACTTCCATGTAACGTAAGGTACTCTGAGGATCTCTGAGGCAGGATAAGGTACTGTACCCTGTGAAGAATGCAATGTAATTGGGATGTCCATATATTTGGTGGTTGATCTAAAGGTCCTTGTAAGGATTTTTAATTGCAAAAGCCGTGCATGTTATGTTGGAAATCCTCGCGAAAGTTTTTTTTGAGTTCGCGAAACATAATTTTTTATTCGCAAAAGTTTCGCGAAAGTTGGATATTATGAATCATTATCATTGTATACATTGCAGCTTGTTCAGGGCTACCACCTCCTGCTGCCCGGGGCCCGGGGTCTGGGAGGAGAATGGTACCGCACATTTACCTTTCCCTTCATAGGTAGCAGCCAAGCTTCCGAAGGTGAGGCTTCGCCACAGCCAAATACCATAGTCTTGAAGTGCATCCTTGCACCTGCTGCTGGTACTGCCTAGCGTTGCTTTCTGAAGTCTGAAGAAACAAGCTCCAAGTGCAGCAGCCAAGCTTTCGGGGTCCGCGGATAGGGGTATTTTCGCGAAAGTTCCGCGAAAGTTTTGCGAAGGACTGGGCGAAAGTCAAAGTGCATTCTGAAGGGAGTGGCCCAGTAAGCGCTGCAAAAAATCGCCTAATCAATAACAATCTGTCCTGAGAAGGGGATTCCGTGATGCTAGCTACATGATTACAAGGCTATGAAGAAGTTATCCGTGATAATTTGGTGTGACTTGGCAGGTGCTGAATGAATTTTCATAAGAGGAGTTGTTGCTCAACATGGGTCCCGCGATAGAAAACATGGAGTTCGCGAAAGATTCGCGAAAGAAATTGTTTTATTCGTGAAGAATGGCCGTTCCCGGATAAAGGAATTTCGACCAACCACCCATTAAAGATCAGTCCCACGAATGTATACAAGGTTCGCAGTACTTCGCAAAATAGTATGATTTAATTTTCGCCTGGTGGAGAGACAGTTTTGACAGTTTTGAGCCTGAAATATACAAATACCAGGAAGTTTTGAGTGTCGCGCCTTGGTATCCAGGGCCCGTCAGCTGAGGTTGCAATTTGCCACTGGCAACGCCAACGACTGCGTTTGGTCAGGACGATGTTTTGACAACGCTGATCTCATATTCCTTTTCTGGTTTACTTGTTTGCGTCACAGGCAGAGCGAATCTCCCTTCAGGATTTGAGTTTCAGGGAAAGGAGATTTTTGCCAACGGCACGGAGGAAAACTGGAGGGAAATGGTCGGATGCGAGAGCAGCTGCTTGGATGCAGATTGATGCAGGAAAAAGGTTGACAAATATTTGAAACATTATAAAAAAAGGATGGTTTTGGCATGCTTTGGCTCCAGGTCCTGCGATTTCATGCAGTTCCTAGGTTCAGTATGGTTTAGTCATGTGTACATAGTCCGCATCACTATTACTGAATGAGTAGAACATGTAGAAGAAAATCATCATGAACCATGATGTTTGTGTACTCTGCAGAGGCTCCGTGTTTCAGAATTGCTCCGAAACTGTATAATCAATCCTTTCATGGTGATATACATTGACCTGTAGTGATCGTTCTTAAGGCAAATTCACTTCGCGTGCCACAGTGGAGTGCATGGCTACAGGCCTCACCGAAGGTGGTTGGGTGGCCCAGCAGACTAGTCCAGACCAAGCTGGCCTACTGGTCACGAAATGGCTAGGATAAGAAATTAGAAAAGATGAGTACTCAGCCTGTTGGGATCCATCCCATCCCAAGGTACCTACAAATTTCAGGTCCGCGAGGTTTGCACTGACTCAGACATGACTAGCCCATGGACTGAATCTGATGCTTGGCTTGGCACTTGGCGATCCCTGAGAGGGTGAGAGGCGAGAATGCATTGCCTCCATTCAAAGCAGATTCTGTATTACTATGTATTCACTACAGTGCCTCCTTTTGCTCTCCTTTCAAATCCTTCCCCCAGTTTCTCCCTAATTTCGCTCTGCTTCGTTTCGTTTTTCTCAGGAAAGTTTCACACTTCGTTTTGTTACGCCTCCAGTGGCTCGGTACGCGTCAGCATGGCCTGGGATGCATCCTATGTGAACAGCCTTGGGGATTTGGGGGCCACATGGACAATGGGGACGGGTCCAAGACTCGGGATTTGAGGGCTCGTTTGGATGCTTGTAGCCAACTGTTGAAGGTCGGGGACGAATTTAGGCAGCCCTCTACACTTTTGTTTGTTTCCCCAGCTGCCCCTGAGTCAAGAATGCCTCACCGGGAGCAGTAGGTGACCCCAATCATGAACATGGTATCCCGTAATGTAGAGATTGATGCGGGGGCAGAGACCACGAAGTTGCAACAAACCAGACAGTCATAGAGAGTCATAGACGCTCTTGATAGTCGACGATGGGCATGTTGGATGGCCGGAGGCAGTTCTGCTGAAGTTGCCGGAGGAGGATCAATACGCAACAGTGAGCCAGGTTCTGCTGGCTGTGCAGGCAGGGTGTGTTTGATGTTTCGTTCTTAGAGCTCAGGGCAGAGATTGAGCAAGCGAGGCATGCAGATAGTTGGCCGATTGAAAGCTGAGATGCTCGGAGTATCCTAGAATGAGTGATGATCTAAGTTATGTCTCATGCCGACTCATGCCCCAACCATCTTTTGAGAATGCAGTGAACGCAGTTTCTGCTTTATTTCTCCCGCAGGTTGATGCATACATTACCTCAGACACCAGCTACGCCTTTGTGGTTAACAGGACGAATGTGCGAGAGGGTGGTGAAGAGACCCAGCACAAAATTGCCTCATGTTGACTGTTGAGCATTATAGACTATAGATCATTGTCATTGTATCATGATGTATCATGAAGTATCATGCATATTCAGCTCGTGGTTTGCTGCGGACAATGTGCTTCATGATGTTGTCATGCGATGGTCATAGTGGGATTTGATGACAGAAGAGTTGCGTGAATGATCCTGGCCCAAGATTAGGCAAAGATCTCCAAGCTTTGAGCATCAGGAGACCTTTTCACATGCCATCCTCAGTGAAGTCGTCCGATGCACTGAGGAATGGTGCCCAACCATGCAGTGGCGTGTTGCTGCCAATGAGCAACTTGTTTGCAGAAATTTGTAGAGCCTTTATATACCTGGTGCGGCAATGTGCGACACTTCTTTCGCTAAAGGCTGCGAGGATCAAGTTTCACGTGAAGCTGCCGAGGACCTCTACCTCAAGTCCTTCTGGAACATCTACAGTTGGCCTCATCCAATCACGTATTCTCATCGCAAACTTTCCTGGAAACGATTTTGTGAAACCAGGACTGGCCAGAACTTGGCAATACTTGGCACACATCTCAACTGTGGGTTTTAACATGCTTCAACATGTTTCAAACGAAGTCAACAGCTACAGGCTCTGCATCATGCATCTCAGACACCAGGCTTTAGGTCGGGCATTTGATCGTTTGACTTTGCCAGATTTTGCCAGGATGCAATTACGATATTACTTGCGAGCAAGGCTGGTCACACTATACTGTATGACAACACAATGCAATCATCATACAGTAAATGAATCAATGTAAATCATACATGGATACTGTATGATCATTTGTTAATTTTGTTATGCTTGTGATATTTGGTTAGGCCATGACATTGGGCGTTCGTCGATGCTGCAAGGCCTCTTCGTCACCGTAGACACTCCGGCAAAGACAAATCCAGAGTTCAGGCTGCTCAGCTTGGGCCAGGTATGGCCAGGTTTAGTCAACTTTGGGGATATGGAAGCCTAAAGGATCCTAAAGGATCCTAAAGGATCCTAAAGGATCCTAAAGGCATCGGCGTCGGGTGGAAATCTCTGGAAATGGTTTGGTCCATGGAAACTTTAACTATGGCATACTATGGCTATATTGCGGCTATATATACTGATGCCCTCTTTAAACGGCAGTCTCGGCAGTGTTCGTCAGCTGGGGGACATCCAGAATTGTTTCTTTTGAATGAAACTTGCAAAATGCCAGGCGGATCAGACTGATCACTCACAAACATTGGTGCGTATAGAGCGACGTCTATTGTATGTTCCGTACTCGTACTGTGCTTTGTGATCTTTGTGGCACCGAGTCCCGAAGTCCATTGGAAGCCTTTCCAGATCTTTCCAGAACTGAGGTGGAACTTCAGCTACATCGACCCCTCACCCGTTCGCGCAATACTCACTCTGAATTCGGTTCAGGAGCATTAAGATGGGAGCATTATTGGAGCATGCAGCCCTGGCTTGGGGCAGTTTGTAGTTTTATCACTGCAAATGGTTCAAAAGTCTGAGTTGGGATGAAACTCGGAAATTTCAATCTGTCCAGCAGTCAGAGAAAGGGTGAGTCCTGGTTGCAGCATGCCCCAGCCTTTCAGCGTGGCAGGCTGTTGCAAACAAGGGGATTCAAGTGACTTTTCAGGTTCCTCTCTTGCACAGAGTATGACGACGCTGCGTCTATAGCATAGCTATGCATAGCTGTACAGGCTCCAGCTAACTGGCTGCATTCCCTGCGGAGCCAAAGAAATGGCGTTTGAAACAAGCAGACTAACTGTGACATCTGAGACATTTGTGACTCAGGTGCAATACGATTTGGCGTCTCAAATCAATTGTGCCTTTGCTGCCTTCGACTTGGCCAAGCATCTCAGGGTTGACCAAATTGGGCTGGTCGAACTTGAAATCTGCTGTCGGACAGCTCGCATTGAACCGATAACAAAAAACACACACACACACAAATACGACATCACATGTGTTCAATTGATTCCAACGTCCCGGATGTCCCCGGCTATCATTGCTAAGGCACAGTAGCAGCTGTGAGTCCTGACAGCGGAGCTTTAGAAGTCACTGGACGGGTCTCCACTGGAGCTGTCAGAGAGCCAATCTATGCCAGCATTGCCAACAGGACACTTTGCCAAACTTCCTGCTTCCGCAAATTTGAGGATTCAGGTCTCTGCTGTATATCCTTCAAATTTTCAATTTACGTAAATTGGTGTTCCTTTATTCCTTTAAATTGTCTCCTGGCTACTCCTGGCTTGTTTCCTTGATCTTCCTTGGGTTGTTTGGAGGTTACTGGTCACTACCAACAAAAAGCACAGAGAAGATCCGCAGGACTGAAGGCGAGTATCTCGTCTACGATGCCACTCTAACAGACATCACTGTCACTGCTTTGGTGCCGAGCAAGAGGCGAAGGGCACCAAAGATACGAAAATCATCGAACATCTTTGTTTGGTCATGAGGGCCTTTGGCATGGAATAGAACCAGAGAATACCGGAGGAGAGTGTGAGAGAGCGAGATGATAGTTGTAGGTGGTTGATATGGGATGATATGGTAGTTCAGATACACACACACACATATATATCTTTGTGCACCTGCTGCAACTGCATCCAATGTCTGCAGAGTTTCACTGACTCGGCCCTGCAGCTACACCTTTAATTGCGCTGGCTGGAAGCAGAGCAAGTCTTGGGTGCCAGCGGTGTGTGCGAACTATCCTTCAGACTGTGAGGCCTACAGTTGCTTGGCTTCCAGCACTGCCCGTGGCACCCTGTGGCAGTATACTGTAAGATGCAAGCATTTCTTCACCAGGGGCTTGCATCCATCAGGCCACTCTTCACGATTCATCCAGAGAAAGAGGCATAGTAAGAGTTGACGCAGAGCAGCAGAGCATGACCAAAAAGTATGCTGCCGCTATCTGTAGCGGAATGCAGTGTATCAAGCATTTCGACAGCAAAGTCGACGGATCTGGAAGGCGTGGAAGGCGTAGAAGGTGTGAAGGATGAGAAATTTGATTTCCCTGCTTCACTCGAGCCTAAGGCTTCGTCACCAGTACAGACACGAGTGCCAAAGCAAAATTTATCAAAACTTTGATGACAGGATTGGATTCATTTGGATTCATTTAAATTGTGTTGTTTTTATACGGTTTTAATCGTTTTTACACTTTCCGTTTTTTGCGGTTTAACCGGTTTAACTGTCCCTTCTTACCTCTTGGCACCCAGGCACCGATCTCGACGCTCTGGCTATTGCAAAAGTTGCGCACTGCCCAGATGGCACGCAGGCAGGTGACCACATGTGACCACTCGGTGACCACTCTGTGACCACTCGCAGGCCAAAAGAATCCAACAGATGCCGAAATGCCTAAACCATTTCAGTGTGAATTGTGATGAATTGTGCAAAAGCTCTCATTTCTGGGCCCGCTCTTGCTGCATCCAGTCAATTCCAGTCAGCTCACAATGCCAGGCGACAATTTCTTCGAAACTTGGATGAATATTGACTGTGAGGAGTCTCGAAGTGCGAGTTTGATGTGCTTGATTTTCAGCCAGACCATCATCACATCCTTCAGAGAGTAGCTTTTATATTTTACATCTGCAATTTTGCTGCCTTCGCCTCGCGACGCACCACAGGGAGACGCAAACCTTTCAGCAAGTTGAAACTGGCATCGTCGTGCTCCTTTCCACATACGAGCGTGCTTGTGCTCTGGCAGCACTAAGAATAATTGCTGCATTCATTTGTATCGTACAGATTGTACAAATTGTAATAAATATACAAGCATGTGCAAATCATGTGCATATAGTTTTCTATGTAGTCAATTATAGTCAGATGATGTCAGATGTATATAATTCTTTGGAAGACTTTGCATAATCATACGGGCTGTCTGATTCTTATGGCGTTTTGGATGCTTGCATAAGGGAGTGGCCGCTTTCAAGATCTTTCAAGTCTCGGTGTAAAGGTAACAATGTTGTGATGGCAGTGGGGGAGGTGGCCACCATCACGGTGAACTTCACTGCCGGGAGACCCGGTTGGACCTTGCTCGTTGGGCGTTGGTCATTTTGATCATTGTCAGAGCATTTCTGTGGAGGTGAGCCCCTATTCGGATTATGCCAATTTGCTGCTGGCCGCATTTGGCACATTTTGGCGGAATGGTTTTTTCAACACGGATTTGAATGCGTTGGAAATTTTTGGAACTCCTGAAATGCTGGTATGTAATGGTATGTAGAATTATATATGATGAATTATGTAGACATGGTAGATATTTGCTGCGAACGGTGTGGATGTAGTAGCAGACCTGTTGAGAATGCCGCAGCGGCCGAGGACTTTTCACAACAGTGAGTACGAGAATTTCGAGCTAAGATACACAAAACTATCGGACGATGCTGCGCTGAGCATGGTGACAAAGTCAATGGACCTCACGGTGTGTCCACACGCGCACTACTACTATGACAGTTCTGCTACCGCCTGCAAAAATTATGTCACAAACTGAGTACCTCAGTACGTCGTCTCAGTTGTGTATGTGGTGTGCACGTGTGGTTTGACCTGAAGTCCTGATTGTACATGGCCTGAGCTTATGAGCTCGCAAGGAGTATGCATCCGATGTGTTGATGTCACACACACACAGAGGCACACGCACGCAAACTGATAAGCATGTCGAGGTTGTGAATGTATCGTTCACGGACACGAAGCTGGCAGTAACGGCTATCAAAGTGACGCACGCTGATTTAACCACTTCTGAAGTGAAGGGCACTGGCTCTGATATCTCGGTGTCAAACGGAGCCTAGTCTGCATTTTGGTTTTTGTCGCTGTCAAACTAAGTCCTTTTTGCAGTAAGCTTTGTGCTCACTGGGCCCCTTAAACTTTCAGACGCAAGGGAAGAGATTCAGGCATTTCTCGGGGATTCTATTCTACTGTGCACGTGCGGTTCTCTGTCTGTCTGCCTCTCTGTCTCCGTCTCTGTCTCTGTCTCTGTCTGTGTCTCTCTCTGTCTGTCCGTCCATCCGTCTGTCCGTCCGTCTGTTTGTCTTTTTTTCTCTCCCTCTTTGCACTGAGATGCCCATGCCAGATGACTGGTGAGTTTGTTTGGTGTTTCTATGCAGCAAGCAAGGAGTGCAAAGAGTAGTCCAGCAAGTTATCCCTCTCTTGCATTTGGCAGGCGACACAGTTACCTTTGAAATGGAAAAGGACCCCGTGACAAGCCTGGTGGATATCAACATTTCCCTTGGTGGAGAGAGCTATTTCCCGCAGACGAAAGAAAGTGTCACTGAAGCGTAGCTTGGTGGGAAAAATGTAAGCAGCGTATGTATTAGCACATTTCCCACTTGACATTCTTGTAATGATGCTGACGTTCTGCATGTGATAAGGGACACGACTGGAACGATGGTTGTCAAGATTCAGGGTCAAGGGCTTTCCCTGCCAGCCACTTGGCAGAAGCGCAAACCGCTTTGTTTCACATGTCGTTTCTTGATGTTTTGAACTTCCCAACTATCAGCTTGATTTGTTTTTGTGGCCCTACCATGGTGTCATCAACCTCAGTGGAAGTGCTCGGCTTGTCTCACGTGTGACATCGTTTGACGTAGACCACTCTTTAAGTGTTTTGATGTTTGCGGGCTCTTCACGGTGCCTCATTAGTGGGATGCAGAATGCATGTCCTGTGTATTCCGTTACAGAATGTTACAGAGGTCAAGATGAAGATGAGCCTCCAAGACGCAGGAAGTTGTTGACAGTGCTGACGGGTTTGGCAGATCTGGGTACAATTGGTACAATATGGCACAATGGCACGTCAAGTCAATTTGTTGAAGGCGTGCTCCCGAATGAAGCCTCATCGGGTTGTAGCGAGAGTCTAGAGTTCCAAGGTGGATCCGAGTTTGACATGGACCCTGGGCGAATCAAGATGCAATCGCTGCAAATTGTTTTTACCTGAAATGCTTCATATGCTGCTTGATTTTTAATGATTTTTAGCACTATTGATTCCGAATATCAGCGAATGCGCCTACTCAGGAATACAAGATCACCTTCAAGACACCAATAGTCACGGTGACGAAACTGTTTCCAACACTCACGGGGACCACAAGAACGCTGGTCACTGCAACTCAGCCTGGGTTGTTTCAGTCGGACATAGCAAGGAGACAAGCAGTTGCACATGTGGCTGAAACATAAACCAGTAGCGCACAGACCAGCACAAGCTGAGCTCGTAAGAAGCCACTGCAATTCCACAGCTCCCACCGTTCACTCCTGCCATTTTGATTCCGAGGCTTTGGACAATGTCCCGACCTCATCAGAGGCAGGGCACAATGTTTTTGGTGGGTGGAGCTGACATTCACACAATTTCACGCATGAATAACTATATATATTTCAAGCGAGTGACTTAGGACTTGTGAAAGATACCCCGGTGTGGCCAAGTCCTATCTCATCATGCGTCGGACCCCCCCTGCACAAGTCCCAACTCATCCGGTGTCCGTATAAGATTAGAAACTATGTTTGATTTTTTTTAGTGCGGCATGGGCCATCGTAAAACCATGATGACATAGGACTTGTTCCCCTCTGGTGACATACGATTTTGTGCACCAAGTCCTGTGCGTGTATGTAATGTAATTTACTGTAATGTACTGTAACGTAATGTAATGTACTGTAGTGTAATGTAATGTGCTGTACTTTACTGTAATGTAATGTAATGTAGCTACATTACATTACATTACAGTAAAGTACAGCACATTACATAGCGTAATGTAATGTACTGTAATGTAACCTAATGTAATGTAGTGTAAGTATGTAGGTTCTGATGACTTAGGACTTGTGCCCATCTTGAAAAATTGTGATTTTCATTTTTTCCTTCGATTTATATAGAGACATTATTTTAAATAAATTGAAAAATAAATATATGTTTTTCCACTTTTCATTTTTCTCTGTTGTTTCCCGTTTTGTTTCCCCGTTGTGCTTCCCTATTGTGGTCCCCTATTGGGAAAAGCTGCTTTTGTAACATAGCGAAGTGAAATGTTAATATTTGTGCATATCTATCTGAAAAAAAAATCACAGATTTTTGTGAAATACTTTTTTTCGAAGATGGGCAAAGTCCTAAGTCATCATTTTTTCAACGATTGGCTCGAGGACTTCGACCCAACGACGGGGTAGTGCAACGGGGAATACAATAGGGAAGCACAACGGGGAAACAAAACGGGAAACAACAGAGAAAAATGAAAAGCGAAAAAAAACATATTTATATTTTTCAATTTATTTAATTGCTTTAAAATACTGTCTGTATATCAATCAAAGGAAAAAATGGAAAATCACGGATTTTTGTGAAATATTTTTTTGAAGATGGGCACAAGTCCTAAGTCATCATTTTTTCAACGATTGGCTCGAGGACTTCGACCCAACGACGGGGTAGTGCAACAGGGACTACAATAGGGAAGCACAACGGGGAAACAAAACGGGAAACAACAGAGAAAAATGAAAAGTGAAAAAACACATATTTACATTTTTCAATTTATTTAATTGCTTTAAAATACTGTCTGTATATCAATCAAAGGAAAAAATGGAAAATCACATATTTTTGTGAAATATATTTTTTTTGAAGATGGGCACAAGTCCTAAGTCATCATTTTTTCAACGATTGGCTCGAGGACTTCGACCCAACGACGAGGTAGTGCAACGGGGAATACAATAGGGAAGCACAACGGGGAAACAAAACGGGAAACAACAGAGAAAAATGAAAAGTGAAAAAAACATATTTATATTTTTCAATTTATTTAATTGCTTTAAAATACTGTCTGTATATCAATCAAAGGAAAAATGGGAAATCACAGATTTTTGTGATTTTTTTTTTGAAGATGGGCACAAGTCCTAAGTCATCATTTTTTCAACGATTGGCTCGAGGACTTCGACCCAACGACGGGGTAGTGCAACGGGGAATACAATAGGGAAGCACAACGGGGGAACAAAACGGGAAACAACAGAGAAAAATGAAAAGTGAAAAAAACATATTTATATTTTTCAATTTATTTAATTGCTTTCAAATACTGTCTGTATATCCATCAAAGGAAAAAATGGGAAATCACAGATTTTTGTGATTTTCTTTTTGAAGATGGGCACAAGTCCTAAGTCATCATTTTTTTAACGAATGGCTCGAGGACTTCGACCCAACGACGGGGTAGTGCAACGGGGAATACAATAGGGAAGCACAACGGGGAAACAAAACGGGAAACAACAGAGAAAAATGAAAAGTGAAAAAAACATATTTATATTTTTCAATTTATTTAATTGCTTTCAAATACTGTTTGTATATCAATCAATCAAAGGAAAAATGATGACTTAGGACTTGTGCCCATCTTCAAAAAGAAATATTTCACAAAAATCTGTGATTTCGCATTTTTCCCTCGATTTCTATACAGACAGTATTTTAAAGCAATTAAATAAATTGAAAAATATAAATATGTTTTTTTCACTTTTCATTTTTCTCTGTTGTTTCCCGTTTTGTTCCCCCGTTGTGCTTCCCTATTGTATTCCCCGTTGCACTACCCCGTCGTTGGGTCGAAGTCCTCGAGCCATTCGTTGAAAAAATGATGACTTAGGACTTGTGCCCATCTTCCAAAAAAAATATTTCACAAAAATCTGTGATTTTCCATTTTTTCCTTCGATTTATATACAGACAGTATTTTAAAGCAAGTAAATAAATTGAAAATATTGAAAAAGGTATTGGGATGTAATGTACTGTATTTTTATTTAATGCAATATATGTATGTACGTTCTGATTACTTAGGACTTGTGCCCCTCTGGTGACAGACGATTTCCAAGTCCTTTGCATGTATGTACTGTACTGTAATGTAATGTACTGTATTGTACTGTAGTGTACTGTACTGCACTTTACTGTGATGTAATGTAATGTACTGTAGTGTAATATACTGTATATACTGTACTGTAATGTACTGTAGGTATGTAGGTCCTGATGACTTAGGACTTGTGCCCCTTTGGTGACATACGATTTTGTGCACCAAGTCCTATGCATGTATGTAGTGTAATGTACTGTACTGTAATGTAATGTAATGTACTGTAGTGTAATGTAATGTACTGTACTTTACTGTATTGTAGTGATGTAATGTACTGTACTGTAATGTAATGTAAGTATGTAGATTCTGATGACTTATTAAGAGAAGATTTTTTATTTTTATTTTACCCTAAAAAGTGCTTGAATCCAATCACAACCCCAGTGACTTAGGACTTGGTGCACACAAATCACCTGGTAAGAACACCAGTGACTTAGGACTTGGTGCACAAAATCCTATGTCACTATGGTGGCCTAAGTCCTAAGTCACCAGTCCGAAATATATATATATATAATAAATACACTATAAATACTGATGTTGACTAACGAGCAACACTTTGCGGCCTGGTCTGTGTGAGGTAGTCGACGGCTCCGTGTCTCCCGCAAGCTTTCTTCGGCTGAGCGTTAGAAAGGTTGGGGCTGCCACGCAGGCAACTCCGGGCTTCTGCCAGTCGTGCTTTGGCTGCATGGGACCGCATGGAACAGACTTCCCAAGCAACGTGTTCCTGGATGTGTTTGTTTTTTCGATATCCAGTCGTGCTTGGAGCCCCACGGATCTGTTCTGAGGCAGAGCTTTGGCAGTGGCTGGACCGCGCTGTCTTGCGATCTCGAAATAGCGCCCATATCTGCAGACAATCTGGTGATAGCTGCTTCGTCGAGTTTCGAAATTCTTGTTGCTGGCAAAGTCTGCTCAGGATATGTCATGATGTGTCTATTTGATTGATGATTGGATCGGGCGCCTTGGGCACCAAGGAGATTGAAATGTACAACTGGACCTCCACCCTGTGGCAACTTGCATCCGACTTCTATCAGACCGGAATGATCGACTACAGAGAACCCCTGCAGCATTGGAACTGCCTGTCCGTAATGCTTGCACACGCCATGCCGCCAAATGGTTCCAAATGCCACTCAAGTCAACGAAAGCGGCCACGTCATATGCATCTCGATGCAAGGTCCCGACCGTTGATTCGCTCTACACATTGGATGCCAATGGCAACCAAGTCGGGACAGGAGCAGTAAACACTGAAACAGTTCGGGCCCTTGAGAAACTCTCTTCCTCTCGATCCATTTGTTAGTTGAACAACGATGCTGGAATCGTGGGTCTAGTGGTATGAATTTCGAACATGCATCGAGCAATGTCCTTCAGACGTCACTGAGAGAAGGAGAGATAGAGAGCAGCTGCTGAAAACTATTCAAAACTGAATGATGAAGCCACTAAATGTCAAGCTCCTGCTCGACATTTGTGATGTGAAGCCCGAGGTCATGCTCTCGGATCCATATTTCTATATATCTGGCACATCCTTTGCCAGGCCAGGGCCGGACATGTTGGTCATGGTCGCAATATGAAGCCCTGTTCCATCCTGTTCCCTGTTCTCACATCTCATGTGTTCGCACATGTTCGCACCATTTCGTACTCAAACGTTGGAGATGTTGGGGGGAGATTGATTGAGATTGGGGGTTTTGATGTTTGACCAAGCATTCGAACCGCCGTGCAATGTGCAGCCTTGGCACAATGTCACTGACCTACGTGAATGTGACCGAGTACAAACTTTGGCTTCAAGGAGTTAATCCAGAGTTGTCCTTGTGTTTCTTGGCTTCTCATGGCTCCTCTCAGCTCATGTTGGCTCCAGGCACCTGTGTGGATGGGTGAACATGGCTGACATCATTCAACGTGTGCCATTGAGGCTCAAAAATTGAGTACCAATCAGAAAACGTGTTGATGCTTGGCTTAGCTTTGCGTCCATCCTGTTCGCAGCCTGGTCCAGTCTCAGAGTCTGACTCTCCTCTTTCGTTAACTGATTTAACTGTGAAAGAGCAAGTTGGAATAAAGGATGTAATCTCGGCATAAATCTCGGCATGAAGATGAAATTTCCTCACCGACTGGACTCCAAACAGCTCGAATTCTCTAATTTCAGTTTGGGTACCCTCTTGTACAGTACTCAGAGTTCACTGTCGCTGAATGTTGCTGATGCTGCTGTGGCTCGGGGGAGTAGGAGATGTGTTTGCCTCATTAAATTTATATAGCGGAAGCTTTCAAGGAAATGGATGAAATGGATATCTTTTGCTCCGATGTTGGTTGTTGCCGTTGAACTGAGGAAATGCCAAATCACAAGTTGCTTAGATGCTCGGGAGATTCCGGCTGATCCCAGTGTCGTTCTGCAGATTGGTGAACTTCGTTCCGCCGAGAAAGCCGGATTCTTGGACAAGGGGCCCCCAAGGGATTCCAAGGGTCCAAGCCATCAAACTGTTTTTTTTTTCCAGAACGGCCCCTCATGGGGGAGTATTTTTTGCTCTAAAAATGGTAAAAAATACTGGTATTTTTAGTGTTTTGTGACCAAAGTGGGCTTAAAACCGTTATTTAGAACAAAAAAAAGAGTTCCAAAGGCCCTCATATGCTGTCATAAATCACTGGCATTTACAGACTCTTGTGGCAGGATTCAATTTTTCCTGTGAGGCTTGCAAAGAACTACAAACAATCAGCACATAACAGAAAACATCTGCTGCACAACATGCCATAAGAATGGGTAGCTGCACATCTTGGAACAGAATATACAGTAGCAATAGGTGACTAGTGTGATGGAGACCGTCCATCATCCATCCAAGGAATTTTAACCCTTCCACAGCCCGCGATCAGCTCAATCTCGCCCACTCTTATTCTGGATGCAGGTGAGCGGCAGGGTTTTGACATGTTTTGACCCTGCTTCATGCGCTTCATGCGTTCATGTATGATTTACATGATTGACTATGATTGACTGGTGGTTCCTGTCTGTCTCGCCTGGCTGCGCTGCAGACAGAACACAGGTTACGCGGAGATAGAGATTTTCGGCAATTCTTTTTCAGAGTATCTTGCGCCCAACGGTGACTTTCAGGACAGCGCGACAGGTTCCAGTGAGGCTCTACGCTTTCACGGGTTTTCACACAAAAGGACAGAGAGAGAGAGAGAGAGGCTTGCAAGCATCCATAAATGCATACATTGTAATTAGTTACTGTATATAATAATAATAGTAATTTAGTAGTAATCATAGAGTAATAAAAACAAAATTGATAATCATAGCAATAACAACACAGACACACACACACACATATATATATATTGTACAGTAATGTGCAATACCTCTTGATCTTGGAAGTCTTTATTGAATCAATCTATCAGTGGAATTATACTACTGCGACCAATCCATACAGGCCCAAAGCTGGATGGTACCGGATTTAGGTCCTTAAGCACAACCGCAATTAGTCTCAGATTGCGTTTTGGTGTTTCTTTGAATCTTCCTTTCAAGTGATAGGTTGGTGGCCTGTCGTAACCTGCCAGGAAGCTTGTACTGCTTGGCAAGCGAAGCTGAACGATCTCACTGCGACACAGCAGACGAGGCCCGACGATGTTTGGTCTTGCGACACCCGCCCTTTTCCCTGGACCATTCCTCCCTCGAGGCGACTTGACACGGGGTCAGCTGATACGAGTGGCGCGCTACAGCCGTATTTCATGCCATCTGGCGGTCGACAGCTGACTAGCGCAGACACCCTTCCTGCTATGCAAATGCTGGGCTCTGTCACTGTGACGGTTGGGGATGCTACCTGCAGCGTGACCGTCGCCATCTTAGTTGGTGCAGTCCTTCACGACTGAAATGCCGATTTTTGCGGTGCACTCAGCACTTGGAGATATTCCGCATGTATTGAAGAGCTTGGTCCTTTCTCAGCGATATATATATAATTATATATATGTAATTATATAAATATATTAAACTATTATAATATGTTGTTTTCGACACTTTTGTGCAATCTGTGTCCAAGTCGGCACCAACACGCAGTACATCTCGGTATTCAGACGTCTGAAAGCTGTCTGGAGGCAGAAAATCAGAATAACACCTACGTCAAGTGTCAAATGACAAAAGCCAGACGTGCCTCTCGAGCTGAGCCAGAAGCTGGTGAACTTCGTGGCAAGATCATTTCTCAGATGCTTGGTCTTCCACCTTCTTGGACCATATCGGACCATATTGGACTTGAGTTGACTTAGAGAATTGGTGTCGCGTGTTTTAGTGGTCGTGCGGTCTGCGCCTCTAACAGAAACAAATTGCACTTTTGCTTTGGACATCTCTGGGGTCACTGAGGGTAGTCGATGCACCTTGTCTTGAAATGAGCGCGTACTGTACTAGTAGTTAGGCATAAGCGGGTAACTGTCCACTTGGGGGATTTTGACGTTACTTTTGCATGGCTGTTGAAGATGATCCCGCCAATGATTGGGTGATGTTCAAATCAGCCGTTTCTCCATCCCCGTTGGGGTGGCTGCACTCTTCTGATGTTGTCACTTCCAGGTTCTCTTAGACTGCAGAATGAGAACATGGCAATTTTCAGCACTTTTTGCACTTTCTCTTAGCAGCCATGGGGCTTAAGGTGAACGTGATACTGAAAGTTGGCAGCATTGAAGAAGCGAACAAGCCAACACTTTCAACACAACTTGCCCAGTGTGCCCAGGCTTGGAGGGCTGAAAGCATGTTTGCAATCCAGTCAGGAATGAAATGCTGAATAGGTGCTTTGCCTCATAAATCATGTTCTATGACACTCTCGCTCATAGTTCAAAGATGTGTATGGTGCATAAAAAATCAAAGTATGGGCCCAGGATGCATCTGAAAAGATCCAGCTGTCAGCTGTCTTTGGAATTCTGTGCCGCAGCGTTCAATAGCGTTCTGCTCAACACGACAGGAAGGCTACTACAGGATAAGCGAAGTTCCTTGGCGGCACTGTGTGGAGCTTCTTTCCACAGCTTCCGCAGATCAATTTGATCTTCCGTTGCGAGTGACTTCGTAGCATCTGCCGAAGATCGAGGATGACGATACTTGCGACCAGTGCCCCAAAGGAACGTACTCAACGAGCTTTACAGACGAATGGCCTTTGGGCTGTACGTTTTGCGCATCCACGTCCTACCAAGATGAGGCCTGCCGAACTTTGTCTCAGGGAAGTTCATAAACATAACATAAGATTTAAAGATGATTTTACATTGGAGTCACTGTCCGAGAAGCACATGCCATGATATGCCTACGTATGCCTATGCGATTCTGATACTGATATTCCATGTCGAATGATGGGAGAGAGTGGTGATTGAGTGCGTCCTGCAAAAGCATGCAGCTTCAAGATTGTTTCCATTTACTCATTGCAGAATGGCCCAGCTTCATGTTGCTTCCGTTGACCCTGAACAGCTGCAGATTGGGCAAACCGTATGCAAAGTGTGCCCAGACAACACCGAATCTGTACCACCGGCAACTTCCTTGGAAGACTGTCGTTGCAAAAAGGGATACTACTCCCCAGTCTATGATGCCACACAAATGTATGGCATGCCGGGCTTTGCTTGTTTGGAGTGCAGCTCAGCAGACTTCACATTGATACTTGGCATTACTTGGCCAAAGCACATGGTGTTTTCTTTTCTGGGGCTCAACATCATTGAATATCATTGAATATCATGCTTTTAGTCAGCCATGGGTCTCAAAGAATGCTGTCATGTCCAGAGCACCCCGCACACTTTCCTAAAAGCAGAAGCTGACCTAGTAGGTCCTGATGTTGACACCTTTTAATTAAACAGTAAGTGACTAAGATCACCCCAAGAATACGAGCCTCAAACTGAGAATTCAGCCAAATTCAACTTCCTTGGATCCAAGCAGTGCTAATTACTGCATTGCTACCTTCGGTTGATCCAAGGGATACAAGTCTCGATGAAGCGCCATGCAGTCTTGACAACCTTGGGGATCTTTGCGATGAGCCTGTAGCACACCACTGTGTGCGAGTACCAGCAGGATCCTTCAACTTCAGACTTTGCACTGTCTACTGCCCTGGTGGAACAATGCTGCCGCTGGCAAAACCCTTTTTCTACATCTCAAAGCATTCGGAAGTTGCCGCTACAGCAAATCCAGGTCAGACTGAGTACCAGCCAGTGGTTGAAACCTGCCTGCCTTTGTATGCATGTTTGAATGCCACTGGGTGTTGAAAGTTATGGCAGTTTTGTTCCACCATTGCAAAGTGCAAGAGTCATTGAATGAAGTGAACAAAGCCCAATTGACCATTCCAAATCAATTACTGTACTTTCTTCTGCATTGTCCTAAAAATCCCACCAAGAGAAGTAAGTAAATCATTTTAACTCCCTTGGCGTGCACTAGCAACTCCTTCCGCTTGCCCCGTGTCTTCCCCAGATCAATCATAAACAAGAAACTGGAAAATGTGGCAAAGTTGAACTCCAAATGGTGACAAACGCTAGGTACAGCTAGGAAAGGTGACTTTGATGAGCAACAGGCCAAAACAATAGTGCTCAAAGACAACCAATGTCATTCAATATTATTCAATACCATTCAATACTATTCAGCCATTTCCCAAGTGTCGAACTCTCAGGCAAACTACCGAAATGAGAAAACAGCATCCCAACATCCCAGTATCCTACAGTAGACACAAATCGGCATTTCCGTTTCGATTCTTTGGCATTTTGGCATATTTGGCACAGCGGTGTGACAGAAAGCTGTGCCGCTGCAACCATTGGCAAGGCCATGCAATGCCACGGTTTGATTCAGTTTGTACTATTTCAATCATTCTCAATCTATTTCAGTTTACCACCATTTCTGAATCATCATCCACCACCCAGCACGGTCGCAAATTTAGTGTTCGCAGTGCGGGAGACGGCTCCAAGGCGAATCAATGCAGTGCAGGTTACGAAGGCCTCAATTGTGGACTCTGCGTTTTTGGATATTTTCCGGTGACTTGGAGAAAGGATCAGTTAATTCAGACGATTGAGAGATATTGAGAGAGTATGAGTAATGAGGTAGTCAGAAGGTTCCAAAAAAAGTGCATGTCTTGCAAGAATTTTGCAAGGCTTTGCAAGGTTCAGGACTTTCAACATTACTGTCTAATATATATGTTTATTATATTGGAGTTTGGTGGGATTTTGACTCTTGACTTTGCAACACTATGCGACCATATTATTCAAAATTATATATATACATAAATACGTATTATATATATAATATATAAAATATGATCATATATATATATATAGAAAATAGTATATATATATACACACATAAATACGTATATATATATTTACACATACATACACACATAAATATACATATTTACATATATACATAAATATACATAAATATACATATATATATATATACATATATACATATATACACATATACATATATATATATACATATACATATATACGTATATACGTATATACGTATATACATATGCATATATACATATATACATACTGTGAAACCAGCATCCTGGCACCAAGTGCAAGAAAACATGCTCGAAAGATGCAACCTGTCGCAGCTCAAAGCGCCCTTTACAGGAGGCAAAACGCATATACCATGGACCATGGGCCCACAATTAAGGCCACAAATTTGGAAGCCCATTTTAGTCTTGTGGCCCCATTTTTGGTCCAGAATCTGGCCCGTGTTTTGGGGCCACAAAACACAAACAGGAGCTATTCAATACGGGCAGCAAGTGTGCTACTGCCGCCGCAAGCTGACAGCAGCACATATCCGTGATACTGCACATACATATAAATATAAACATACATATACATATACATATACATATACATATGCATATGCATATGCATATGCATATACATATACATATACATATACATACATGCATGCATGCATACATACATACATACATACACATACACACACATATATTGCGAATAGAGTGTAAGCTACGGACCAATGTACATTATCACATAATTCACTCTAAGACTCGAAGCCAAAGGGTTGTGACAATCGCCCTTTTGGCTCAAGACCCACTGCAGCAACAGAGAAAAGGAACGCCATGCGGAAGCTGTCGTCTTTGTGAAGTCATTACTGGAACAACAAACATCAACATCAATTACTGGAATATAATCGGACAGGCAATCCCCGATTCGCAGGTTATCAGCCGTAGGACTCCTACGGAGCCTACGAGCGGGGAGCCGCGGGCCTTACAGATGACTGAACAGGATAGCAGCGATAATGCATTTTCTTTCTCTGGACATGCCGTTGCACCAGCTGCCGGCACGCAGTCAAATTCTTCACAGAGTATCGACACTGGTGGAAGCGATGCCTCAGAACTGAGAACAAGCCAACCCAGGCGACATCTGGTTGCTCCTAGAGGGAGACAAATTTCGACAATGCAAGCAATTGAAGATAGGGACAGCACCCCTGGAAAGAGAAGATCATCTGCACGACAATTGTCGCCTCCGATGACTCCAAGGACTAAAGCAAAGACCACGTCGTCGAATCCGCCTTCACCGATTCAGGACGCTACTCCATCAGGGACAGGATCTTATCAACAAGTGAACGCCCCGTCAAGTGGTAGCGACATCTTCACTGCCTATCAGAGTGAACTAGCTGAATACAAAACATCACTGGAAAAGGCCACTGAAGAAGAATCTGTACTTCAGGCAAGATTGAGCGAGACGACAGCATATGCCTATCAGCAATTTAATTTCCTGGAGAGCACCACTCATCAAGAGATGATGTCGATGACCGAACAACTCCAGATGCTAAACTTCGAGTTACAGGCTGCACAACAAGAAGACGAAGGTGCGACCTACAGGATCGAAGAGTTGGAAAGGTATCAGACTATGTCGAATGAAGCTGCATCTCATTTGGAATTCAAATATTCACGACTACGTTCGGAATTCGATGAACAAATGGGACAAGCGAACGCAATTATGGTGCATGTGGGCGCTGATGCGAATGCTCACATCAATCAACTCAGACTGGAACTGGAAAACGCAGAGATGAATGCCAAGCAGGAAGCTCTAGCGGTCGGCTATGCTAACGACCAGACATGTGCTTTACAGATCGAGATGCTCGAGGTTGCCAATCAGAACCAGACGATGAAGCACACCATGGCCATGAACGTCAGACGACTGGAAACTGAGCTCGATGCTGCTGACATGAAGAGGGACGAGATCATGAAGGAGTTCCGTAGTAACATAAGATCTGAACATGACCGTTATGCAGAATGTGAACATCACTTAGCTTTGGAAGAATCGCAACTTCGATTGCAGGTGATCCACAATGAGAACTTACAATCTCGATTAACGATTTCTGAGAACAGAGTATCTGAAGAATCTCTAGCTGAATCAGGCGGCATGCGGGACATGAGGTTAATGGGACTACGTTCTGAACTACACATGAAACAAAGTCTTTTGGATCGAATGCAACAACAACTGACTGAATCGAAGAATCAGTATCATGAACTTTCCTGTCAACAAGCCAGAAGATCATCACCAAGCAGATCACCGCATGGAGGACCTCTCTATGAGATGTACATGCAAGCCGTGCGTGAACGTGACAGCTTGAAGGAATCTAAGGCTGAGGTTGACAAGTTGTACTTACAGAACTGAGCTGAACTCATTGACACTGAGGACCTGCTCAAAGTCTTCCAGCGAAACTTCGATGAAACTGGTAAGAAGTATCAAGATGCTCTGAACAAGATCGATCACATGAGCAACAATCCGAATGTGACGAGTAACTTGTTCGACAGTTTGCACAATGAACTCAATGACAGGGACACAGCTATTGCTCGCCTTCATACTGAACTTGAAGCCCAAAAGGATTCTCTTGAGCGTGCTCACAGGGATGCAGGTAAGTCCATCAAGATGTTGAACGACAGAAGACTCGTGATCAAAGGTGCGACTGACTATTCCATTCCTGAAAGCCACTTGACCGAGATGCATCAATTGGCTAATGAGCGTTTCGCTGAGGTAGAAGAGATGTCGAGTACTATTGCTGCCCTGAAGTTGGAAAATCAAGCTCATTATTCTTCATCAATGAACAGACCGACTACATTACATGGGTACCCCAGTAATGCTATGCCTCGGAATGAATGTGAAGAGAAGTGTGCCAAACTGAAAGCAGAGTTGGACGAGATGAAGCAAGAGAGGAACGCTGAAGTTCGAAATCTTCAAGATGAGTTGAAGAAGATGGAAGATCGTAAAGATTACTATAAGAACAATTTCTCTCAAGCTGAAGATCGTGCCAA